AAGAGCAACAAGAAACTCGCAGAAATGTGTATAGGTCAATAGAGAAATAGCTTTTTTCGAAATACGGCTGTTTCGTGCTTGCTTTTTGTGTCCCTTTGTTAGTTTTCATCATAATGAACTCGTTCCCGAAAAAGAAAGTGAAATTGATCAGTTTTCTTCCGACAGCACGCATCAGAAGTTTTGGCGCACAGAAGAAGGCTTTGGGAAGCGCGCCGCCGCCCGCCTCTCGCCGCTCGCTCGCGCTCTCCGTGTTCCGAGACATCAGATGCTTGCCGTCGGACGACTACCTATTCGTTTCACCCGTTTTTCTTCGGAAATGTGTTTATAATGATCAAAACTAACAAAGAGCAACAAGAAACTCGCAGAAATGTGTATCGGTCACTAGAGAAATAGCTTTTTTCGAAATACGACTGTTTCGTGCTTGCTTTTTGTGTCCCTTTGTTAGTTTTCATCATAATAAACTCGTTCCCAAAAAAGCAAGTGAAATTAATCAGTTTTCTTCCGACAGCACGCATCAGAAGTTTTGGCGCACAGAAGAAGGCTTGGGAAGCGCGCCGCCGCTCGCTCGCGCTCTCCGTGTTCCGAGACATCAGATGCTTGCCGTCGGACGACTACTTCATCGTTTCACCCGTTTTCTTCGGAAATGTGTTTATAATGATCGAAACTAACAAAGAGCAACTAGAAACTCGCAGAAATGTGTATAGGTCACTAGAGAAATAGCTTTTTTCGAAATACGGCTATTTCGTGCTTGCTTTTTGTGTCCCTTTGTTAGTTTTCATCATAATGAACTCGTTCCCAAAAAAGCAAGTGAAACTAATCAGTTTTCTTCCGACAGCACGCATCAGAAGTTTTGGCGCACAGAAAAAGGCTTGGGAAGCGCGCCGCCGCCCGCCTCTCGCCGCTCGCTCGCGCTCTCCGTGTTCCGAGACATCAGATGCTTGCCGTCGGACGACTACCTATTCGTTTCACCCGTTTTCTTCGGAAATGTGTTTATAATGATCAAAACTAACAAAGAGCAACAAGAAACTCGCAGAAATGTGTATCGGTCACTAGAGAAATAGCTTTTTTCGAAATACGACTGTTTCGTGCTTGCTTTTTGTGTCCCTTTGTTAGTTTTCATCATAATAAACTCGTTCCCAAAAAAGCAAGTGAAATTAATCAGTTTTCTTCCGACAGCACGCATCAGAAGTTTTGGCGCACAGAAGAAGGCCTGGGAAGCGCGCCGCCGCCCGCCTCTCGCCGCTCGCTCGCGCTTTCCGTGTTCCGAGACATCAGATGCTTGCCGTCGGACGACTACCTATTCGTTTCACCCGTTTTCTTCGGAAATGTGTTTATAATGATCAAAACTAACAAAGAGCAACAAGAAACTCGCAGAAATGTGTATCGGTCACTAGAGAAATAGCTTTTTTCGAAATACGGCTGTTTCGTGCTTGCTTTTTGTGTCCCTTTGTTAGTTTTCATCATAATGAACTCGTTCCCGAAAAAGAAAGTGAAATTGATCAGTTTTCTTCCGACAGCACGCATCAGAAGTTTTGGCGCACAGAAGAAGGCTTGGGAAGCGCGCCGCCGCCCGCCTCTCGCCGCTCGCTCGCGCTCTCCGTGTTCCGAGACATCAGATGCTTGCCGTCGGACGACTACCTATTCGTTTCACCCGTTTTCTTCGGAAATGTGTTTATAATGATCAAAACTAACAAAGAGCAACAAGAAACTCGCAGAAATGTGTATCGGTCACTAGAGAAATAGCTTTTTTCGAAATACGACTGTTTCGTGCTTGCTTTTTGTGTCCCTTTGTTAGTTTTCATCATAATAAACTCGTTCCCAAAAAAGCAAGTGAAATTAATCAGTTTTCTTCCGACAGCACGCATCAGAAGTTTTGGCGCACAGAAGAAGGCTTGGGAAGCGCGCCGCCGCTCGCTCGCGCTCTCCGTGTTCCGAGACATCAGATGCTTGCCGTCGGACGACTACTTCATCGTTTCACCCGTTTTCTTCGGAAATGTGTTTATAATGATCGAAACTAACAAAGAGCAACAAGAAACTCGCAGAAATGTGTATATGTCACTAGAGAAATAGCTTTTTTCGAAATACGGCTATTTCGTGCTTGCTTTTTGTGTCCCTTTGTTAGTTTTCATCATAATGAACTCGTTCCCAAAAAAGCAAGTGAAACTAATCAGTTTTCTTCCGACAGCACGCATCAGAAGTTTTGGCGCACAGAAGAAGGCTTGGGAAGCGCGCCGCCGCCCGCCTCTCGCCGCTCGCTCGCGCTCTCCGTGTTCCGAGACATCAGATGCTTGCCGTCGGACGACTACCTATTCGTTTCACCCGTTTTCTTCGGAAATGTGTTTATAATGATCAAAACTAACAAAGAGCAACAAGAAACTCGCAGAAATGTGTATCGGTCACTAGAGAAATAGCTTTTTTCGAAATACGACTGTTTCGTGCTTGCTTTTTGTGTCCCTTTGTTAGTTTTCATCATAATAAACTCGTTCCCAAAAAAGCAAGTGAAATTAATCAGTTTTCTTCCGACAGCACGCATCAGAAGTTTTGGCGCACAGAAGAAGGCTTGGGAAGCGCGCCGCCGCTCGCTCGCGCTCTCCGTGTTCCGAGACATCAGATGCTTGCCGTCGGACGACTATCTATTCGTTTCACCCGTTTTCTTCGGAAATGTGTTTATAATGATCAAAACTAACAAAGAGCAACAAGAAACTCGCAGAAATGTGTATCGGTCACTAGAGAAATAGCTTTTTTCGAAATACGACTGTTTCGTGCTTGCTTTTTGTGTCCCTTTGTTAGTTTTCATCATAATGAACTCGTTCCCAAAAAAGCAAGTGAAATTGATCAGTTTTCTTCCGACAGCACGCATCAGAAGTTTTGGCGCACAGAAGAAGGCTTGGGAAGCGCGCCGCCGCCCGCCTCTCGCCGCTCGCTCACGCTCTCCGTGTTCCGAGACATCAGATGCTTGCCGTCGGACGACTACTTCATCGTTTCACCCGTTTTCTTCGGAAATGTGTTTATAAGGATCAAAACTAACAAAGAGCAACAAGAAACTCGCAGAAATGTGTATAGGTCAATAGAGAAATAGCTTTTTTCGAAATACGGCTGTGTCGTGCTTGCTTTTTGTGTCCCTTTGTTAGTTTTCATCATAATGAACTCGTTCCCAAAAAAGCAAGTGAAATTGATCAGTTTTCTTCCGACAGCACGCATCAGAAGTTTTGGCGCACAGAATAAGGCTTGGGATGCGCGCCGCCGCCCGCCTCCCGCCGCTCGCTCGTGCTCTCCGAGTTTCTTGTTGCTCGTTGTTAGTTTTGATCATTATAAACACATTTCCGAAGAAAATGGGTGAAACGATGAAGTAGTCGTCCGACGGCAAGCATCTGATGTTCATTATGATGAAAACTAGCCGGACCATACGCTGATCGATATCGATTGGATTTTTTTCTCTTTTTCTCTTTCTTTCCTTCCGTTCACTTCGTAGCTCCACCGTCGCTCTTTTATCATCCCTTTTCGACTAGCATAGCATCTCTCCTGTGCCGACGAGAGCGCATTTACTATGAAATGTCCTAATAGTCTGCCAAGTGCGCTTTTTTTCGAAATTATTCCAGTGGTAATCTTATACCCGGCACTTTTGGACACTAATAACTAGAAGATCGCTTCTGGAAACGCTTCTCGGAATAGCTCACTATTTTTTAGTTTCCCGAAAGTACAAGCAAACGACCGTGTTATCCCTAATCTTCTCGTGAAATCCGTTACGAATCCTCATTCCAGCCGTTTTTCAGGTTGTTCTACGACCGGAAGAGGAGTGTAGGGTGTGAAACAGTAGAAAATTTCGTTTTTTTTTTCAAATTGAGTTACTCATTGCGTGGTTTTCTTTAAATATAATTTTGCATTCGAAACCAGTAGGCCTCTTTTCAGCTAATTAATGACTACCGTAGACAGAACTGGAAGAAGCGGCTCGGATCGAAATGGTCAACAACACAACACTCAAGTTTTCAGTTTACTACCTTGTATTTAATGCGAACTTTCAGATTCTCTTAGTCGGATTTGGACGGGATGCAGTAAAAAGTTCTGGGAGGCCAAGTATCTCAAATGGACAACGGGCTAAGTTTGCAGCTGCCGACCTTTTTCTCTTCACAATTTTCAGATGCATCGAGTCACAGGAGGATCGGGAGTCAATGGACTGAAGACTCGGATGGTCAGCACTCAGGAAGGACGACTGGAAGCAGGGACAATGACACCGATGGAGGGATCGGCTGCGCTTCTGCGGGATAGGGAAGGAGCGGCGAAACGACCGGGAACGGACTGATCGCGGTTAGTAAGCATAAATGGTTGGCAAATAAGTGGCCAGAGGCGTTTTGCCGAAATTTTTTAATGTTTTTAGCTTAAAGATTTGCACGCACCTTGAAAAATTAGGGTTTTTAGTGCTTAGTAATTGACTGGATTTGAAGTACTTAATTTTTACATTACCTCACATTTGAGACACATTTTCGGAAGAGAAGTTGTTTTTTGAGAGATTGACGCACAACTTTCGAGAAATTTTTGAAAGAAATACCAAAATCTTCCTTTCGTCGATTCCTCGTCCGCCGATCTCCGTGTCCTTTTCGTTGTCTGAGAAATGAAATTTTTATTTCTAACAAATTCAACACAGAAAAAAGACGAACAAAGAATTGAAAGACAAGTGGAAAGCGTTGAAATTTGAACTGAAATTCGAAACATCTGAGCGAGAGTAGTGTGGCTACAGTAATAAATTAAAGGGAGGACGAAGAATTTAAATGCAGATCTATGCCGAACGGTTCTACCTCGTTGCGAGTTCTTAATCGTAACCGTGACTCAGCAGAAAAAGTGAATAGAAACTGAGAAAAACTTCAAAAAGGTTTATTATTACAAGAATAATACCAAAGTTGACAAGGAAAGATAGAAAAGAGGTGACCGGTTTTTGGAAAAGAAAGGGTTAGACCCGAAGGTTCCAGATAATCTGACTCGCTTCATAGAATGCTTATTGTTCATCAATACACATTGTACACTCGCTTCATCTGCTCTTTCGTCCATTTTCCGTTCAGCTTCACATTTTTGCCGGATGCGTTCCACGCGTACTTTGACGTCAAATGATCCCGATACCACAGCTGACCGTACTCTTTCTGAACATTTAAATGGGTCATGAGAATCTTTATTGTAACTATCTGACCTCGAGCATTGCCTTCGGACTACAGGTGACCCAGAAGATGTGTCCGTGAAGATCTGCCGAGCACCACGGATCGTAGGCCGGGTATATGAACTTGTACTTTGTGCCGTCTCCTGAAAAAGTAATGGAAATGTTGACTCGGACTTGACGTGACTGACTCACCCCCAACGCCTCCGACCCACCGATGATCGGTGCCGTTCTCTTTTCCCTCGTACATTACAAAAATGTCAATGTGCACATGGTATCCACGTTTCGGCTCGACGGTCAGCTCGAACGAGTCGTTCATCATTCCCAACTTGCGCTTCAGCTTGAAAACCGACTCGTTCCGCTCGACGGCCGCCACGAATCCGGGTCGGTAGTCCTCGGCGAAAACAGCGAGGTCCATGTCGGAAGTGTGCGGAATCACACTGCACTCTCGGAACCAGCCGAGGAGGGTGCCGCCGTTCAGGAACGGAAACATTCCGTGCTCCAAAAGCTCGTCTCGCAGAAGCGCCAGTGAGGCCGACGATGGACGAGGCGATATGTTGACCTGGAAAAAATTTGAATTGCGCGCCGAACGGTTCCAAAAACTAGCTCCAAATATTCGTACTTTGGCTCCGGCTCTCGGAATGAATAAGTTCATGCAGTCGACGAATTTGGAGCGCTTCCAGAATCCCAAAAACATTGAAATATTGGCAGGAACTTCGACGTTGGCCACGAAGTGCGTCGAGAACTTTCTGAGAAGATGGCATCTTTGTAAAATAGAAACAATATTGTTAGGTGAATACTTTGGAATGATTCGTCGTGGTTCTGTTCGGAAATCGAGGTAGTCTTTGAATGCGTCATTCGTGAAATACATCACTTCGAAACGAGCATCCTCGAGCAGCGCGTTCTCCGACAGATGCTTCACGTCTACACCGATCTGAAAGATAGTGCGTAAGAATGGCTAACGACTCCGTGCAAGCATGAGCGTTTCTTCCAACTTTCATAGAGAAAAGTTGAGTGTTTTCTGTTCTTCACTCACTTTCACCGGTTTCTTTGAGGTCGCCACACACGAGCCCTTCTCCAGTTGCTCCAGAATCACGGGATCGATGATGAGGATGGGGACGGTGGTATTGAGGTGAAGGAGCAAAGATTGACACGACATACCGTAGGAACCGGTCTGGAAAACATTGATTAGCGGGTTGAATTTGAAAAATTAATGTAAGTCCTACCGATCGTTTCACAAACGCTCCTCCGTAATACTCGTTGGTTTCGGACGTTGAATTTCGGAAGACACTCGTCTGATAGACTATCATCGGAATGATGAGCACGCAGGGCAGCGAGAATAGCAGCAGGTAGCGCTTCATTCTGGACATAATAATTTTTTACGTTTGGAGATTGATGTGAAGTCGCTTTTTATCACTACAGGGATAAACCATGACATTGTATGTCATGAAAAACGTTTTATCCAGTTTTTCAACTTTCAACACCGAATGATCAAAGTAGCCAGAAATTGTGAGGTTAAAAGTAAGAGGTCACGGTCTCCAGAGCTGACAATGGGCGCAAGTGCGCCCCGCCCAATAGAGAAACATATTGGCGCGAAATTCAATTTTAACAGCAAAATTTGTGTTTTTTTTACCAGATTAGCCACGAAACACCGATAATTTCTCATTTGTCTCTCGAGAGTTTATCATTCTCAAAACCAATTCTGTCTGAAAACGGTCAAGAAAGTGCAAAATGAGAAGTGCGGTTTTTAGGCGGCGAAGGCGAAAAAGCAAAGTCCGCGAAAAATGCGCCAAAACGTCATTAATTCTGAGAATTAGTGTGTTTTCATGTCGAACAATCATTTTTCATCGCCTTTGACCGCAAAAATCAGAGAAAACCGGCTCAATTCATGAAAACGCCATTTGGCCGCCGAGGCCACGCCCATATTGTCAGCTCTGGAGAACAGAAAACAACAAATTGTAAACGGAAAGAAAGAATGCCCAGAAACATGTGTGAATTTGTGTGGTTTCTTTGTTTTCTGCTAGAGAAGAGATAGGCAACTGGGCGGCACAAACTTAGCAAACTTCTTATGTTACTAGGGACTTACTCCGAGAGGATGCTGTGAAAAATTAGAATATGAGGGGCATTTGTCAACCTTAACATTAGACAAAATGTATTGGTAAACCTAGTTAGACTTGGATTGAAGTCGACGGTTTTGTTTCGGAAATTGTAAACTTGGACCCAAGACACTTCAGCCAGCAAGGTTTGGACCAAACATTCAGGCCTCGAAAAGCCTGTGACGGACCTTTGCCCAGTCCTGTGCCTGAGGAAAAGAGATGGGGTCGGATGAAAACAAGTAAATAACCGCCCAGGAATTTGTTGGAATAGCCAAGGCGTTTACAGCACAAATCAATCGATACATTTTGTTAGAAATGTGTCGATAGATCTTTTAGAACTTGACAGAAAAACGTTTTTGACAACACAACCTTTGAATCAATACTTGCAAGCAGAATAATTTTTTGAAACAGCTTCACACTTTTGGCTACCCGGATTTGTAAGTTCTATCAGTTCAACTCAATATAGCCGCTGACACGTATCTTGCGTTTTCAACCAAGTTTCATGGAAACTAGAATAGCCGAAAGCTTAGCCCGTTCACAAAATGAGCCAAGGCCCTGGCTACATCTGTCATTTCTCTTTCTGACCCATCCTTTTCCGAGTACTAAAAAATGAAGAAGGTCAGTGGAAAGAGGGCTGTTACACATTTGTCAAGTGCTTTTGATTCGGTCTCAAAAAAAACGAAAACGAAAAGGAAGAGGAATTTGTGCTAGAATGGGATGGAATGAACAACGTTTTCTGCCGAAAGACACAAAAACAAACGATTCGTGAACGGTTCGTTGAGTAGAGCAAATCAAATGGGAAACGAAAGAAACAAACCGAAAAACAGGCAGAGATTCCATTCGGAGATGGTCTTCTTTGTGATCATTCATCATAATGGTAAGAGGCAAAAAAGAGAAGAACATCTCTAGGTCATTGGGTTTTTTGAACAATTTGGTTTGAGACCGCCCATCAGATAGGGACGAAGTTGTTGTTTATTTGGAATGTTTTGAGTATTACTTCCTTCTTATCAAAACTGTTATTGCGGGAAATTGATAGAATGCACATTCCTCTCAAGCAGGTAAAAATTAGAACTTCGCGGGCTTGAGTCGCTTATACGTGTCTAAAACTACAGTAACCCAAAAATTGATCTCTGCAGAAAGTGTCGCTCTACAACAACAACAACAACAAAAAGCAAGAAAATAAGTGGAGGACCTTTCTTTTTTCATTCGCCCCAGTCACTTTCGTATTCATTAGAATGAGGCCCACCCGGTGACGTCAAAAAAGGAAACGGAAGACTTTTGGAGGGGACTAAATGAGGAAACGAAACAATTCGTGTGCAGTTTCTTTCTGATCTGGAATGTTTATATGAGGAGAAGAATGGGCGAGGGGGCGACTGGTTGGGCCTCTATTGGTCATCATCAACACACATTCCGTTTCTCATAAACAATTGTGATGATCTGGAGAGGAAAGCGAGGCAGAGAGGGCATTACGATTGACTTGCTACATTCGGATGATTGATATCAGAAGCGTTTTCCTCCTCGCAGACTGTTGATAAGTTTTCAGTGTCTGGGGATTGAAGGACCACCTCTGGAAAGGACTCGAAAGTGGAAATGGTGAAACGAAAAAGGTACCTTCGGAAATAATTGGGCGCGAGAAAGAAGGAGATTAAAATAAAATTTTCTATTGGTTACGCATTTGAAACGCACAAAACACTTATTTTTTATGCTTACCGTTTGATCTTCTTCCACCTTCATGATCCTTCTCTTCTTTCTTCCGACTGACGGTCTCTGTGATGATGAGAAGCTTTCAGCGATCTGAATATCTATTACCTGGACCTCCCTCTCGTACTTTTCATTTTTCAATTTCCAGATCACGTTGTTTTCTGTGGGAGTTCCATTTCGGCGTGTTCTCGAAACGATCCATCCTTCGTGTTTTCGATGCTCAAACTTTCATTATCTTCTGTCCGTTATAGATACACACACACACACACACACACAGGCTTCTATTCTCACAGTTAACAAACCTTAAACTTCTTTTTTTTCAACACAAGCCGAGCCAATCAATTTACTTTCCGGGTTCGAAAGCAAAAGTGAGTCGGCCACGATCGGCGAGACGCAGAGAAACAGAGATTACTTTTGGCGCGCGCGGGGAGATCTAACTCGCAGGTCGCCACGCATTGACACAGCGGCGGAAATCGATTGGACAAACGCGTCGTCTGCTCATTTTACCATTTCGTCCGAATTTTACGAGCAATTCAGAAGAAGATCAGGTAAATCAATGATAAATTCAGTTCACGAACCAGACCAATGTAAGTTTTTTGTTTCCCCAACCTTTTTCCACGTATTCTTTTACAGATAACCAATCGGCGAACGGAAATGGACATCTCGTCGTTAATGTACCCGGTGAGTGTGCGCTTGAATTCTTCTTGTTCCGCTTCGATGACTCACTTTCTACCCCACGTGCCCGTCGTGTGAGTCGCACACCTTTCTCTGAATATCCAGCTCGAACGAAATGTCAAAACAATCGTCTGGAATTCATAGAAAGGTGACAGAGAGGGTTGGCTTCTTTTTGTCTGTGAGCAAACGTATATTTTTCTCAAAAACTGGTCGTTGTTTCATTTTGTAATGTTTTCTGACATTTAACACTAATTCTTCTGAATTTCAGATAAGAACGCAGAGTAGTGGAGGATGTCGGTCGGAAAACGGGAGGCACCAAAAACTGCCACAATTTTCTGAAAAAAAGAGCAAAACGCTTGACTCGTCCGAGAAAAGTCAAAGTTGGCGAGAAATTTATCACTTTTTCGTCACTGCTGCCGCGAATTACACGAAATTTCTCTTGTGAACATCATAAAAATAAGAGGTCATAAAGTGGGGAACAGCATTGATTCGATTATTTCGAGAGCTTAAAACCGTATTCTGTCCGCAAGCGACTCCGAAACTGATCATGAAGCTCGGAATTCAGGTAAATAAGATCTTGCCCAGTTTCTTTTTCCTGAATTTAACGTTTTATGTTCAGCTTCTGATGGCTCTCCTCCTCGCCGTCTCCGCCGTTTTCGCCGCCTACGACGAGCCGTGCACCGCGACTGTCGCGTGCCCGAAACAAACTATTTGTGTCGGAAACGGATGTGTGATTCCGGATGAACTCGACGGACAAATCGATATTGGACCCGATGCGTACTGAAGAACTTTGAAATTGACATGCCAATAAAGTCATCAGCATTCTAGACTTGCAAGAATCTGAACTTTTCTGAAGCATTCTCATTCAACTGCGAAGTTCTTCGTTGTTTTTTCTATCACAGGCGGAGATCATTGAAAAATAGTACTGTGCACATATTCTCTTTCGATTCTAAGAAGTCGGGTGAATAACAGAAAAACACGAGGAGGAGCTGCTGTACGACGAGGAAATCGGGTACGGTGATTCAATTATTGTCGCATAAAAAGATTCTGTCTGGCCGGCACTGTCACTTTTTTCTCTTTTCTCTTCCCCTCTCAACTGATGGCATCCCTCTGGAATCGTTTTAAAACGAGGGTTCTCTATTTCAAGTATTACAAGTGTTGTTGGCCGGTGAGCGATTGGGTTTTCTTTTAAAACTTATTTTTTGTTTTCAGATCTTCGTCTACTACATCACGGGCATGTTCCATGAGTGGATCCTCTCGGACGAGTACCATTCTCTCCACTTCTGGATCCTCTTCTTCCTGCTCATTCGCGAGGGCAATCGCAACCCGATGACACAATTCAGCATCACGAATCTGAAAGAGGACGCTGTGAAGAGGCCGGCGGCTCCGCACAGGCATCCCTCCTACTACGAGGACTATCATCGGCAGGCGCGAAGAGATTTGCTCAACCCGTACAGCACTTATTACGCGGGAAGAAGACAGAGGCCGCTGGATCGCAATTTGTAAATGTTTTTCGAACAGAGAAAAGAACGACAATAAATCGATTCGTGCTTGTTTTTCTCATCAATTTCTTTATGACAATTCTTTATGCGTTCCATCACGCTTTAGCGGGCAATTCGAATTTCATATAAGTTTGACCATCAAAATCCGGGCCGGCTTGGAAAATGCCTTGAAATGGGTCATCCCGTTGCAACTGTAGCGACCAGGAAATTCCCAAGCAAATGCATTTCCCATCACATTACGGCGCCCCGCTTCTGCTTCCAGTCCCTATCATCCATCACCCGAAAAAGAACCTTTTCTAATCCACCTAATTACCGCCGGTCTGGGCTAGCGCACGTACAAAAGAACAGTCTCGTTCCGCTGATGTCCTTTCCATCTCTCTCTCTCTCTATCTCTTCCTCTCTTGCTTCCATCTGTCGGGTCGGTCTTGGCAGACCTCCCCCAGGTCTCAGCCCTTGTGCCTATCCTCGCTGCCACCTCCTCTCCGTCCCGTCCATCTCTCGCTCTCCATTCTCTGCGTCTCGGTCCTAGGCATGTGACTAGAGAAAAAAGAGAGAGAGAGAGAGAGAGACTAGAGGAGGTTTCTCTTTTTCGTTTTTTGTTACAATGTGTGTGTGTGCTCGTTTTGCCGCTCTCTTTCTCTCGCTTTTCGGTTTCATCTCTCTCCCTCTAGTTTTTGCTTGCTCGCTAGAAATGACTGACCACAGCTACGTGGCATTGTTTACCGCCTTGGTTTCATGTCACAATATTGATGTTGTTGAGCTTCTGAGCTGACTCAACTGAGAAAAAATGAAAGGCGTTTTTTAATTGATTAAATCTGCCTCTGCGCTTTTTCCTATTTTTTTAAAGATAGTCCACTCTTCTTAACTAATTAACATACTAATGAATGGGTCTAATTCATATTTGCACGTGGCCTAGCTTTTTCGGTGGCCGTGGCCTACAAAGCTTGACTGTATTATAGGGGCACCACACAGAAATGGCGCTCTGTTGAGAAACTCTTTTTGCAGTGCAAATTGAGCGACCTCGGGGCCGTGTTTGAAAAGTTAGGCCACGTTTTCAGTGGAAAATTACTTCGTGGCCTAGAAATTCTGCCAGATTGCGAACAGTGCGCCCTTTCTATCCGGTGCCCCTATAATAAAACAACTCATGGTCGTCGATAGAACAAATTCGCAATTTATGACGATAAAAGTTGAAATTGTTCTCCGAGAACCTGCAAGTTTCAATCACGCGCGGCCCCCAGGAACTGTGCTATCAAATTTGATACCCCCCACGCGCGCTCGCTTGCAATCCTACCAGAAATTTAAGTGCAAATAAAATGTACAAGTCAGCGGCAGAAGAAGAAGAAGAAGAAGAAGAATCACCATTCTGTGTTATGTTATCACGGGCAGCAGCCTCGCTTCCTTGCGGCGCTTAAGCTAAATGCGTTGTGTATGTTTGATTAACATCACTAAAAGTACACACACACACACACAGAAATCTTCTTTGTTCATTTTTCTGTATTTCTTCTAACCCTGATAGTATGATACAACCAAAAACCAAAAATCAATACTCTTATTGCAGAAATATGAACGGAGAAACGACGCCTTCGGCTGAAGGATCACAACGCCAACGAAAGCCCAGGCCCGAGATTCAGATCTATCGGCCGGGCGCGTTGCGAAAAGGCGACAGTACGAAGAGCTTGACGAACGAGGAGAAGCCCCCGAGACCCGAAAAGTTGCAGTCGACACCCAAGTCGTCTGAGTCCAGAAGACGACAGAGCAACGATACGGACAGCGTGACGTCACGCGGCGGCTCGGGGAGCACCACTCCGGACGCGAGTGCGATGAATGAGCGGGGGAGGAATCGGTTTGGAGCGCAAACTCAAGCCGGAAGTTATCAGAGCGGAGGCGGCGGACAAGGATCTTCTTATGTGAGATTTTCGATTAATTTGTTAGCCGGCTGATCTCTTTTTTTTTGAGCTCACAAATCAAAGATCTCCAAGTTTCAGAACTCGACACAATCGTTGTACGACACCCGGCGACAAGGCGGATACACAGAGTACAACGGCGGAGCGAATCGATCGAACCATCGAGGTGGAAGAAATCAGCAGAAACAACCGTTCGAGCGTCCTGTCAATCATGTTAGTTTATGGGAAATTCGAACAATTTCTATGTATTTTCATTTATAGAGCCGAGGATTCAATGAACGTGCCTCGATGCGCGGAGACGGAGCGATCGCGAAACGAACGGGCGGTCGGAGAAGGAACGATTCGATCAACTCGACGCAAAGTGAGATGCCGCCCTCGACGAACGATCAATTGCACATTGACACCTCGTACGAGTCAGCTTCTCAGTGCGGCGCCTCTTCGGCCTTTTCGATGAACTCTCTTGGAGAGGCGTTCAGCTTCGAGGAGATGTGCCAGAACCTTCAGAATTTTGCGTCGATGGATTGGAGTAAGGAGGTGGAGAACGAGTTTGCGATGCAGCAGGAGATGGAGGTAGAGGAGGAGCGGAAGAAGCACGAGGAGAATCTGAAGAACCAGAGTCCGAAGCCAAAGGGAAAGCTTCAAGAGGCGAATGGGCAGACGAACGGGTCGCCGAGAAAGTCCAAAAATCGTCGTAACCGTGGGCGAAGAGACGAAAGCGATCGGGAATCGTCGTTCGGCGGAAGCATCGCAGAAGAGAACGAAGAAGCGGAGGAGGAGTTGAAGAGCGGAGAACGCACGCCGACGTCCGTTAAAAGTACGGGTCCGGCGTACAATCCAAGAGTACTCTATCAACGAACACAGAGGAACACGTCCGAGAACGAGAACAACGGATACAGCAGACGACCGAACTATCAGCACGAGCCGGTTGTGAAGAAGATGGAGAAGAAGGGCGGATATCGTGGAGAGCACGACGATCGGGGCGACGACAGTTCCGAGTACGGAGGAGTCGAGCAGCACATGACTTCCGGACGGTTAGCGGGCCGAATTTCGATTGTGACCAGAGATGTGCCGGACGATCCGAGAACTAGTACGTTTTTTGCAGTCGCTTTTCATGTTTTTGACGTAGAATGTGGTGTGAACACCAAGTAACATACCGTAATCGAAGATAAACTAAATGCTGCTTCATCACAGTTTTACCGAGCTAAAATGTCTAATTTCAGGAAGCCGAGCTCAAGCGCAAGCCGACGAAATATCGAAGATTATCCAGAAACGGAGGTAACGCAACTTGTCTTTATGTCCCCGTCCCTCTCGAAAGTTCTCCCATTTTCCCTTTTAATCCCCGCTGTGCCTATTTTCAATTTACCCTATGTTTGCAATATCTTTGGGACCTCCTAATATACTTATCTAATTGCCTTTTGAACCTCTCTAACTGGCTCACCATTCCCTCCTTCAGTCATTGATTTCTATTTGTACGATACTCGCCTTTTTCTGTGTTATTAAATAATAATTAATTTCCCCTAATAATCGATTTTTTACTAATAAATATAATCACCACTAATTCCGTTCATTTCTGTTCACTCACTAATGTTTCTTTCCGTTCGCTTCGGGTTCCTTTCCGCTTTTTTCCGGTGTTCCAGCTTTTTCAGCAAAATTTCGCTTTTTTCCAGTACCTCCTCGTCAGAAATGGTGAATCGAGAACTGCTGAATCAGCGGCGAAAAGAGCACATTGAGCAGTCCGAGGAGGGCGCTAAGATTCGAGAAATTAGCGGGAAAATTGAAAATTTGGCGAGTTTTGTCAAGAAAAGAGATGTGAAGGCGGCGGAGAAGATGATCAAGTACAGGTTAGAAAACTACTTCAATTTTTCTCAAAAAAATACTCTGGAAACGTTTCCAGCATGGAATTATCAAGTTTCTACGCAGAAGTGATCCTTCCCGACGTCGTCTACGCATTCACCGCCGGTTTAGAACAAAGACTGTTCCGACAGGCATTTTATAAGGTCCCGGAGATTGTAGAACTGAAAAAAAAATCGAAAGAATTTCAGTCAATCGAGGCGCTTCGCAGTGGAGCGAATTCTGTGGCGGCCGAGGGGAAATTCATTCGTTCTGTGGCTCAGAAACTTCTTTTAAACGTAAATTTTGTTCATGATCGCGTTCTATCGCTACTACTTTGCCGATATCTTCCAAAAAAAAGTGAGACAGCAGCTCCCCATTTATTTTACATTAAAAATGGAGGTTTGGTAGAAAAACGGCTGGAATTTGAGCGATAGGGTGCGACAGCCACATTAGTAAAGCTACAATAAAGTTATCATTCAGGGAATTGTGTTCTACGAGCAGCTTATCACCCGATACGAGCAATCGTTCGAGATCAACATTGAAAATACGCTCACCTGGCCGCAAGGCACTCCTTCCGACGAACAACTGATCGACGAGACCGTTCTGTTGCCAGTTGGAATAATGAAATTCGAAACTGCCACGCAAAAGGTTTAATACTTTGAAAATTGGTCGATCTTCTTTTATTTTCAAAGTTTTCAGACCGCAATAAAGTCACTTTCACGTCATCTGACCTCCCTCGGCGACTTGCATCGATACAAGTGTCTGATCGAGGGATCCGAAAATTATGAAGTATCCAAGAGGTAAAAAAGGAAGAAAACGCTGGAAGATTCTCAATTTTTGCATCTGTCCTCTCAGATTTGGACAATTCATGCAAATGCGCTCGATTGAGAACAAAACTGAAAATTTTTTTTTAGTTTTTTGAAAACTTTTTTCGACAAATTTTGGCGCTACAACGGATTAGAACTGTTACGAATTAGAACTCCCAACGCTAAAAATCAACCAACAGTTCTAATTCGTAACAGTTCTATTCCGTTCAAGTTTTAATCCGTTGTAGCGCCCAAATTTTCACTAGTTTCTATTATGCGTGCATTTCACTACAATCGCGCCCTGTTCAGAAACTCTTTTCGTTGTGCAATTTTTCAATTCTTTCAGCTGCTACCTAAAAGCCGCCCAGTTATGGCCATCTTCCGGTCATCCGTACAACCAACTCGGTGTCGTCGTCTACTATTCCGTAAGTTTCGAGAATTCGGCGGATTTTATTGGAAAACTTTTGAAAAGCTAAAAGACGGAGAGGTCAGGGGTGACAAAAACGAGCCGCCCGTACACCCCATAACATAGTGCGCCTATACGAATTCCATATTTCGATATAAAATGACGTGAACTCGCCCCCTGACGACGCCGTTTTTCTTGTCTTCAGATGCTGTACCGAAGTGCGCGACGTGCCCGTCTCATTCCGGTCGACGTGCTGTCGCGGCAACGACAGGTTTGACCCGCTCCACGATCCGTTTTTTTTCGAGTCTTGGGAAATTTGATACTCGAACGCGCACCATCTTCCTCCCAACCTTGTCGCTTGTCTCTTCTAACCCCCTTTTCTTCTCCGTTCTTTTCTTCTTCCGCGGGCGGTCATTAACAGCTTGGGTGTTCTTTTCATTTTTTTTAATTCGTACCTGCTTGTTGTCCTCCGTCCTTCAAAGATGTCTAACACGTTGTTTTGCCCACCTAAATTCGAACAAATCGCCAGGGCCAGGCGGTCTGGAATTTTATATTATCAATCAACCGATCGAGCCGTCAGTTTGAATGACTGTGTTCAATGACCAGATTTCCTCATCTGATGATATTAGGCCAAAAAAGCTAACCTTCTTAATGTCCCGTACAAAGTAAAAAATCAGGTATTTCCTGGGTGCCCACAGTAGGAATGACTGTTACCGCACTCATTTTTCTGAAATGTTATCGAAACAGAGTACGGTAACAATGATTTGAGCTGTGCTCTCTTTCTTAACTTTTACTTTGTACTCGGAATTAAAAAGGTTAGTCTTTGCGGCTTAAAATTGTTCAAGGTAACGGCCCGATCTGATTGATAATGGCAACCGGACCGACCGAAAATTCCAGGCCGGCCAGCCCTGAACGCGTGCAACTTTTCACAATATGTTGTCAATTTCAGAAACGTGTAATAGACGAGTTCTTCTACCTGACACGTGCTCTCGCGTGTTCGCATCCGTACGAAGTGGCGCGAGATCGGTTGGTGCAGCGGTTGGACGCGATGCGATCGAAAGTGAGCAAGTATCAGCCGACGATCGACAAAGAGTGCGGGACGGTCAAAGCCGAATCCGTGGCGCTCGGCAAGCTTCAGTTGAACCGACAAGTGTGGATCCATCCGACGACCGGGAACACTGAAAATGGGACACGAGAACGGCTCGTCGACGATATTCTCAATTATTTCATCTCACAGCCGAAGACCAAGTTGCACAGACGGGCGGTATCCTACTTGTGCGACACTTTCGGAATGTTGGTCACAAAGATCGGAATGGATCATTTCAGAAGGTTTGTAATATCTGGATGCAAAATCAAATAATATCTCTATTTTCAGTGTGTCCGAACGAGCTTTCGGTCTCCTCTTCGCCTCGCTTTCGAAGCGGGAAACCGACTTTTCGGCCGAGCAACTCGTTCAACTCTCCGCCATGTTCATTTACGCGGTTCACGTGAATTTCACAAGTGAGCCACTAATTTGAAATTGACCACGTCCCCTTTTTTTCAGAGCCAGACAGTTCAGCGCAAACGGGAATCGCCCTCAACTCGCTGATCACCTTCTTCTCGGTGCTCTCTCGGTCTTTCATTGCTCAGAAATTGCCGCTAGTTTTGCCCGCGATCAACGTCATTGCCACGTGGATTTGTCACGTCGACACGGAGCCCATTCTCAAAAGCTCCGATCGTCTCGAGACCCTTCCGTCGACTATCCTCACTGATTTTGATGCAGATTCCACAATTCAGCAGGTTCTGGCGACGATTCCTGCAGATGTGAAAATGTGCGAATCCACGTCACAAGCGTATCCCGAAACGATTCTCCTCGCCTCTTTTTTCAAAACGTTCGACGCGGCGCCGCTGAAGACGTGGCAAGCGAAAAGCGGAAAAATCGAGGACGGGCGGTGCGGAATGATGCGCAGAGCGATGGAAAAACTGAGGGAACGTGTGAAGGCGAAAGAGGAAAAGAAAGCAATTGAGACGGAGTGCGATAATAGAAAAGAGCCGGCGGAGGAGGAGGAGGAATCGCCGCGGAGCAGGAAGCAGATTCTGGACGAGGAGAGGGGAAAACGGACTGTGGCCATGATTGTTAGTCTTTCGAAATGTTTCATATTTTCAATGGCTGGTTGCAATTTGCTACACGTTTCTGTTGCAGGTACACCCCGAATACCTCATCCCGGACACGAACGTGCTGATCGGTGACCTGAGACTTGTGAAAGAGCTTCTGGAACAAGCCGCCGACGCGAATTTCCAAATTCTCGTGCCGACAATTGTGATCACAGAGCTCCAGTCTCTGGCGAAGCGGCCGGATGCGCGCAGCAGTTCGGAGCACGATCCGGAGAGACGGGAAAAGGCGCAAGAAGCGGTGAGATGGCTGCGAGAGCAGGAGCGGAAGAAGCCGGCGGATCTGAAGACGTTGACGTCGAGTGGAAACAGGGTTCCGACGTTCACGATGGCCGCCGAGCAGCTCGAGGATCTCGGGAAAGCGGTGAGGCGAAAAGTAGACATTTTGCTATTGAAAAACATGCAAATTTTGCAGACGAACGACGACATTATCCTGCGATCGGCGCTGAAATGGTCGGAAAGTCTGCCGACGCCGCCGGCCACGTCGGTCGTCCACTCCGTCTCCGTCTCCATCGCCAATTCGGCCGACGCCTCCGCCTCCAACACGCTCGTGCGGCGGTGTGTCCTTCTGACCGGCGACCGTGGGCTGACGATCAAGGCGAATGGAAGTCAGATGCCCACAAGAGGCGTTGATAACTTTTGCCAATGGGTTGAAGGCGGACGCCGCTGATTCCCTTCCCCATTCGTTTTCTTCCTCCTTTCCTCTCGTTCACGTGTTTCTCGCCGAATTCGGTTATCATTGTTCTTGTTGTGTTGTTAGCGAAAAAACCTGTAAAAATCTGAGAACAGTTTAATAATAGTTCTGAGTTCCTCGACGAAAATGATCTATTTACCCTTCTTTTTGCACCTCAATCCTGTATTTTTGCATTTTTCGTTTAGTATAAAGACACTTTTGAAATTTCTTGATTTTCCTAAAGATTTCGAAGACAGATTAGATAGAAATCAGCCCATATTTTTCGATCCGAAGCTTGGAATTCTAAATTCGCAAAAGCCTACCGAAACACGCAATTTTACGACAACTGACACCGCAACACGTAATGAACGCAATGTGCCAGACCTTACGCGCATCACACAACTATATTTGCTCGTACTTTTGGGCTCAAATTAAGCACATTTCCTGTCGAGGTTTTGCACTTTTCGACTCAAATGATTCACTAACCCATTGCCACGTGTTTTCTTCTTCCGATTCTTCCACGTTTTCACTTTTCTTTACCCTAAAAATTGCTAAAACCATTTTCAGGAGATGAAATTGTACAAGATCGTCGCGTTGGCCCTCCTCATACTTGTCCAAACATCAGTGTCAGAGAGTGACGTTGCGGTAATTCGATTTCGACGCTCAATTACCCAATCTTCAAAATTTGTTACTTTTTTAGAAGGATGTCGATACTGTAGACGTGAAAAATGAAGACGATCCGAAGGAGGAAGTCGCTTATCAGGGCAAAGAACTGTCAGATGATAAAGAATCGGAACACAAGGTAAACAGTGAACAATTTCTATCAAAAATCATGAAGAATTCAGAAAATCTCGCAGAAAGACATCTCGTTCTACCATGGATTCCTGGCCTCCTTCTCCGTGATCGTGGTCTCTGAACTCGGCGATAAGACATGGTTCATCGCGGTGATCATGTCGATGCGGCACTCGCGCCTTACCGTATTCTCCGGAGCCATGGCCGCGCTCGCCCTCATGACAGTCCTTTCGGCCTGTCTCGGATGGGTGACTCAGGTCATTCCTCGCGCCGTCACCTACTATCTCTCCACCGCCCTTTTCGCGCTGTTCGGTCTGAAAATGCTGCACGAAGGATGGACAATGTCGCCAAATGAGGGACAGGAGGGATTCGAAGAGGCGCAGGCGGAAGTAGCCAAAAGAGAAGGAGAGCTCGACGCTAGCAAGTTCGAAATGCTCGAGGGAGGCAATACTGTCAATCAGTCAGTTTCCTGGATCCTCAAATTTCTTGCATCTTTGTTACCTATTTCAGAAGCGAAACCAAGAAGATCTTCCTTTTCACCTCGCGCATTTTCATCGAAGCGTTCACGTTGACGTTCGTCGCTGAATGGGGAGACCGCTCTCAGTTGACCACCATCATTTTGGGAGCCAGAGAGAATATCGGTAAGTTTTTCTTGAATTTGGCGAAATTTCTCCGAAATTAACACAATTTTCAGCCGGAGTCATCGGCGGAGGAGTTCTCGGCCACGCCCTTTGCACCGGAATCGCAGTGATCGGCGGAAAGATTGTCGCTCAACGGATATCTGTTCGGACAGGTACAATCTTCAGCCTTTTTCCCCTAAAAAAACTGGAATTTGTTCAGTGACACTCATCGGCGGAGTCGTTTTTCTGCTGTTCGCCCTCTCGGCGCTTTTCATCAATGACATCGAATCGGCGGTTGATTCGTAAGCATCCACACGTGTATCTCACTCAAATTCGTCATTCATTCGTTTCTTTTTCTCAATTAAAACCTTTCGCTAAAAATTGTAATTTTCTTTCTTTTTTTTTTGTCCGGTCCTCTCATTTTCCCCCCTATCTTTCAGTTGCTTCCACATTTTCACTAATTTTCCGTAGAATCAACGCTTTGTCATAATTTTTCGTCCATCTTTCCCCCCTCGATTCCTCTTCTTTTTAGTACCGTCGTCGGCGGAAATTCCACGTTGTCGAATTCGACGGAAATTTACGAAAATTTTGTCGGAAACTCCACGAAAATGATGGAACTTTCGGGAAACGCTAGCCTTATCGAACTCATCGGACAGGCGGAACAAGACCGTTTTACCGTGGAAATTTGAAAATAATGTTTTGTTTTGCATGCCTTTTCTTTTCGAAATTTCTGTTCATTTAGCACGGGTTGCTAAAATCACCAACAATTCCTCCCCACACACACAACTACCACAATTATTAGTAGTGAAAAGAAGAAATCTCCTTAATTTTTGTGATTACACCCTTTGATTGTGAATAATATATGAAGCTACTGATAGTGGTAATTTGAACGGGGAAGTAGGCGGTACAACGGAATAGAACTGCGAAAAAATGGAACTGTTTCGGCAATAGAGTGGAACGAACGTCCTGTGCAGATCGTGGACCGGCTAGACGATTTGAGTAAAAACAGTTTCAGCAGATGAAACTGGGACTGTAATTCACTGACACAACTAACGGGACAATCAGGAGCAATCATGGTACTGGAGATACAGTCGAACCGAATTTTATGGTGACCAGGCGGGCAACCTGAAACAGTCACGGCACAGACAATATTCATTAATCGGTTCATCATCCATCGTGTCCATGTTCAGCGCTTCCATCCATCATCGAAAAAGATTGGGACTGCCAAAGTCCTGAGATCCACTGTGTCGTGGAAGTTGTTTTATAACTTATAATTATAAGAGCAAAATGTCAAGTAAATGCTCCGATTTCTCCCCCCGAATTTGAATAAATAAAAAGGACAATGAGAAGTCATTTACAGGAAAATTGAGGATCATAATCAATTTCGATGAAATAGTATAGTTCAAATTAGTGCGCAGGTTCGACGAGTTGCCAGTCCTGACGGCATAACGGACACTGCGCCTTCGGCTGATTCGACGGCGCCGCGATCCATTTCTCGATGCAGTGGCGGTGAAAAGCGTGACGGCAAGTGCCGAGAACGAGCGGACAGTCGTCGCCGGGGAACTTGCACGCGTTGCACGCCGACTCGAACTCCATCCGGCAGATGCCGCACGTGTCCTCGCTGCCCTGGATCCACTTCCACTCGCCGCACACCTCAAAAACAACAATTTTATCGTTTAAATAGCGCTTTTTGATGTCTAGAGCAGCAATACAAGCATTTCAAAGGAAATAAAGCAACATTTTTCCTAATGTATGTGGAATTCTGCTCAATTAGGTTTGCAAAGATTTTATAGTTGCTTTAGATGGAAAAAATACAGTGGGAGCTTAAAAACGAATGCAAATGTGCATTTCAGAGTTCTTTGAGTTGAATTTTCTCGAAGATTAGAGGGTATCAGAGGGTCTCATTGTGTTTTCTGACATCTACAGACACAGTAGAAACGTTCTACAGCAAATTGATCAAAAAACATTTTTCAGGTAATGTGAAAATTTTCGCATACTAATGTGATGGAAAAAAGTTCAAACTCCTTGAAAAACCTTTTTTGCTCAATTTGCTCCAGAATGCTTCTAATGTGTCTGTAGATGTCAAAAAACACAATGGGACCCACTGAAACCTCCTAATCTTCGAGAAAATGCAACTCAAATAGGCCTAAACAGCAATTCGCTTCAAAATGGTTCCTTTCTGGCTCTAGATAGCAAAAAAGAACATTTGGACCCACTAGATCGTTGTAATCTTCGAGAAAATGCTTCCACGTTTTCCCCCGAAGTTTCTAGTTTTTCGTCGCAAAAAACGCATCCTTACATGCAATTTCTTGACGGTAATATTTATCCGCGTCTTCGACTCCAAAACGACTCCCGGATGCGGTTCTCGTTCTCGCGGCTGCTAAAAATTCGACTTTGCCATATTTCTGCCACAGTCCTCATTTTTACCGTCGTTTCGTCCGAATCCGGACTCTCCTCCGCTTCTTCTTCTTCTTTCACCGATTGTGGAGCTCGCGGCGGCGGATCCACTTGCATTCCCTCTTCCATTCTAACAATCAATTTTTCTTTGAGAAAGCCACAGAGAACAAGTGATAAAACCGCGGTGAAAACCTCGAAAACTCCATAAAATCGCAGAGAAAGACAGAAAAACAGTGATGAAATCAACGATTCATGAAAGCGAAATCCAAGCTCCTATTATAAACAGTCTTCTTTCACTTCTTCACGGCGAAAATCAATCAATAAAAGACACGAAAAGAGCGGGGAAATGGGGGAAAATGAAATCTTCAGACGGCGATGTCTTTGAGCTGTTGGATGGCGTTGTGTAGGAATTTCTCCTGGAAATCCTTCTGCGAAACCTGCTTCTAGACGCTCTCGTTGATCAGTTTCAGCAGCTGATCCCGCTCGAATCTCGCCTTCGTCGCCTCCGTCTCTTTCAGGTAATCGATGCGACGCTTCAGCTCGCTCGCCACCGTTTGCACATTCTTTCTGCAAGAAAAACAGTGAGAAAGCCGCCAGAATTCGAATTCGATCGAAAATTTCGCAATGGGGCGCGTTTGCCTACCTGTTGGTGGCCTCCAATGCAATTGCATAGTCTCCTTGAACGAAAGCGGAACCGATTCCTTGAGAGTTGACATTGACATCAAACACAATCGATTCTTGATTCTTCAGGTAATTGAAGCAAATTCTCTTAATTTTCCTCCTATTTTCTCATTGTTCCAAAATTCTATTTCAAACGAGTTCGTATTAGATTGCAAAGTTTTCTAATTAGATTGCGATCGAGTTCCCAGAGCTGCAGACTGAAATTCACGGAGAAGCTTGCTCCAATGAAGGCGAAAATCGAGGAAAAAGAGGCGCAAATGAAAAAAATAATGGCGAAATTAGAATCGATTTTAATCTCCTTTTTACTGGTTTTCTAATCCCAGAACTTTATCTTATGTTTTAGTATTTTTTAGAGAGACGATCTGCCAGTCGAACCAGGGTTCTCGGCACACTCAGTATGGGCGTTTTTAGCACGTCGTCGGCGCTCTATTGAATTTCTTGTTGCTGAACAAAAAACTCAAATGCGTTTCAGCTCAGAAACGAGATACAAGCTTCAAGTGAGTTTTTTCTTCAAACAATTGTTCTGTTCCCTTTGTATGACTCACAATGTACCCCACGTGCCCGTCGTGTGAGTCGCACGCCTTTCTATCATCTGCAAGTGATAGAAAGGTGACCGAGAGGGTACCTAAATATAATGCTTTCTGTAAATCTATTAAGATTTCTGCAGATTTTCAGAAAAATTATCGATTTATTTCAGCACCTCTTAGCGCATTTTGTGTTGAATGCCGATGAACAGTGATATTTGATGGAGAAAAATCGACAATTCTCGTGAGAACGCAACATTTTTGTCAAACTGTCTTTTCTACGTGAACTCTTTCCTTCTCACAGATTTCCCTCCCTCCAAAGAAAAAAAACACTTATTTCTACGTTATGTTTTGGTGCAATTGGCAAATGTTGAAAGCTGGCAAAAAAAGCAGAGCCGTGCCGGTGGCGAACTGGAATGCTCTGTCAGTTGAGATGAAGATGGAGGTGATCAAAAGAACTGATATTTTTACAAGGTTAGCTCACAGTTTTCGAAAATGACAATCATCGCACAGAATCGCTTTACGTCGATGCTCGAAATCCGACAAATGTATCGTCGACGCGATGCCTGTTCACATTCCCTACTTGCAAATGTTTTCGCGAGTCACACCGACAATCACGTTAGTTCATTCTATTTGCAATATATCAAAGTCGGGTCAGAAAAACGGTTCCAGTGGTTGGTGGAATCGAAGAGTGACTCAACGAACCACGGTTCATGTGATATTGGCGTTCGACGAAACGCACATCATCAAGTTCCGACCGGTGGTTTCGGTACATCCGGAAGATAAAGAAACCATCCTTTCCCAAGGACTCGTCACTTTTCTCCTCTCCGCCAAAAACGTTCGGATCGATTGTGTGAACACTGTGTTCATAAACAAAGTATTCGATCTAGGAAGCATATGCGAACTGGTCAAAATCGAAAAATGGATGCTAGGAGACGCACCATTCAGTCTTGGTGATCTCGTCGTCGAAAAACGAGAAGTAGAGAAGAGTGCGACGAACAACGAGAGTGCTATCGTGTTTTTGGTCCAACATTTTGCTTGGTCTAAAACGATGTTCAACGATTGTCACATGGAAGCGTATAACGTGGATGACGAGGAGGATCTGCTTATGCACATGGAACGGTTGGAGCCAAACGATTTTCTGATTGCGATTGGAAACCACGCTGAAGGACTATGGAACATACTCATGGATGTTTCCGATGGAGCCATCGACGCCCAAGACCGCAACACTTGGAGATGGATCAACGTGGATGAGCCGGAGTTCATATACATGGCGAGGAACTCGTCGTGCGGTCAGATCGTCCGAATTACGAGAGAGGAATCGGTAAGAAGGTTGAGATCTAGTAAAAGTAATTCGAGTCTGCAGAAGTTTGCCACGTGTCCGGAACGCTCGGAGATTCCGTTCGAAGATTGGATGTACATGCAGCTGGAGATGGAGGAGATGAGCATACGGAACGAGCTGGAGGAAAAAATGGAAAAAATGGAGAAGGACTGTGAGAAGAAGTGGACAAATAGACTCGTGCGGTTGTTCTCGAAATCATGACTTGTATGGTAACATCTGTAGTAAAGTTTTTTGTACCAATGTTTTAATCTGCTTATGGTGCAATGTGATGCCATGCATTTAATGATTAGAGGTGTGAAAAGAGCACTTTTCTCGATGATGCAAGACGTGCCAAAGGTGCCAAATGAACTCGTTAGTGTTTGTTGCTATATCTCCGCTGTCTGTAGAGATATCAAAAAGTGGTCGACTGAATTTCTTAAATTTCTTATGCCGCGTCCAAAGTCTCGGAAAAACCGGGAAACCCGCAGGTTTTTCTGTCCAAAGTCGGTCGAAATTTGCGTGAAAAACGGGAGTGCGCACAGCTTAACGAACGTAACCGTACCCCTGAAACTACGGTATTTTTTGAAAATTTGTTAATTTCTTGACACGGTGATTTTTTCTCGGGGTGCAGTGGAGAGAGGAAGAAAGTTCGGCCGTCGTCCCGTGAACTGTCGGCTGCTGATTTCGCCGGCCGGTGGCACGCTCCCCAAGAATTTTTCCGCGCGCCAAAACTTCTGATGCGTGCTGTTCGAAGAATACTCATTCATTTTTCCTAATTTTTTGGGAACGAGTTCATTATAATTAAAACTCGCAAGCAGCAACGAGAAACCCGCAGGCAGCAACGAGAAACTCGCAGAAATGTCTAGGGGTGACTACCAAAACTGTTTTTGTTCGAAATATGACTGCTCGTGCGTGCTTTTTGTGTCTCTTTGTTAGTTTACATCATAATGAACACGTTCTCAAAAAATAAAGTGAAATGAATCAGTATTCATCCGACGGCACGCATCTGAAGTCTCAGAACAGCCGAGGAGCGCGCGGGCGGCGGACGGCGGCGCGCTCTCCAAGCCTTCTTCTGTGCGCCGCAACTTCAGATGCGTGCCGTCGGACGAATACTGATTAATTTCACTTGATTTTTTGAGAACGTGTTCATTATGATGTAAACTAACAAAGAGACACAAAAAGCACGCACGAGCAGCCATTTTTCGAAAAAAGCTATTTTCCCAGTGGCCTATAGACATTTCTGCGAGTTTCTTGTTGCTCTTTGTTAGTTTTGATCATAATGAACGCATTCACTATGACAATGAATAAGATGAATAAGTATTTCTCCGGCGGCACGCATCTAAAGTCCCTGGAACGCTGCATCGGAGCCTTCGTGGACGACCTTCTGCCGTTCGGCCATGTTTTGGGACCAAAAGTAAACTGGTCGGGACCAACTTTTTTTTGCTGTTCTTTTTTTTAAAAAAAAGCTTTTTTAATTTAGAAGAAAAGTATGCGGATGATTAAGAATTGTACGGTCCAGTTTTTGAGAAAAATCTGGAAAACCTGTTTTGGCCTAGTAGAACGGCGTGACCCCGCGGCCAGGGTCGCGGGGTCGCGGACTAGAAACCTCCGCGAGACCCCAAAGAGAAATCACCGTGCTTGAGGATATTTGAAAATATTCAAATTTCTTGCGCAAATTTTCAAAAACCCCGTAGTTTAAGGGGTACGGTTAGGGTTACCATAAACTCGAGCACGTCCGTCTCCATGTACCTCGTGGCCTCGTTCCGAAAAATATCTATTGAGTTGAACCGCTAAGTAGAACATTGAAAAAAAGATTAGAAGATTTGGGTCAAAAATTAGTTTACTGGTGGTTTGAAAACCAATAATATTTATCAGAAAATAGTTAAGATGCAATAAATTGGAATTATTCAGAAGCTAGTGGCTCCACCGCCTCTCTGGATCAGTTTAATGAGCAAATCGTCGAGTTGCCATAAGTCGAAAAATTGAATTTTTTGATGCGACTCCAAACATTCCATTCCGACAGCCTTTAAAAGAAGTAGAGTCGGACATAGGCTAGTAAAATGAGAAACTCACAAAGATACTGCTCATCATCAGAATGACATTGCCGGTGCGGTGCGCGATTTCCTCGCGATTCATGCCGAGACTCTGATAGTGCACATTAAGGGCCCTCAGCATTGTGTCCATGTGCGCGTGCATGAACTTTTTCAAGGAAACCGACACGTCGCAGCATGCTGAAAAATTAATCAACTTGAATAAAAACTGTTTTCATCAGAGCGCACTTACACGAAGATTTCAACGAGACTAGCGCTTTGAGGAGGACAAATTCGGTGAAACTGAGACTGATCGCGTGCATTGAGCCGCAAACTTCCCGGATGAGACGTTCCATGAGCGGGCGGTACAACTTGATTTTCATTTCCGCACTGATGCAATTGTTCTCATCTTGCCATCCGGTCATGTCGCCTTCCAGCGCGCCCACGTACATTCCGTTGAACATTACGAACCTGAAAATTTTTCTTTTTTTCGAAGGATACCAAAAAATGTCATACTTGTCGGGAAGTCCCAGTCGATAGGACAGATAAGAGGGGTCCAAAATCGTATGATAGAGGACGCATCTGCGGAGGAATATCAGGCGATCGTGGGTGTTCAGCAGGTCGAAATGACGCCATCCTCGTAGCCATTCGTAAATTACCAGGATTTGCGGACGGATGTGCTTTTGGATTTCACAGAATGTCAGCGGTTTGAGGTCCGCCACCGAGTAGGGCTGAAACGGCGAAAATTGGAACCGAAAAAGTCAACGTTTTTTGAGAAAAAGTGATTGAAAAGCTCGAATCTTTTTGATGGCCTAGAATTCGAATTCCAATTGAACGGTAGTACTCACAATATCATTAACATTTTCGTTGGTCAAAAGAGTTGAAATGGAATCGTTCGAGCAGTACAACAATTTCCTTCTTTCATTGAACAGCCGTTCTTCTCTGAGCAAATCCTCGAGCACTTGTTCCGCTTCGAAGTTCCTGCAAAACGAGCGTCTGTTTGGAATTTCCGTGCGATCGAGCACACTTGCTTACATTGAAAACGGTCCGCACAGGGAGATCTTCGGCGACGGCGCTTCTTCGGAAATCGACGAAGAGTACGATTGGGCGTAGTGCACCTCGGGCGACGACGTTTGCGGAGAAGAAGAAGTGGCCGGCGCGTAGTCGTACGGCATCAATTCGGCTTTCGGACTATGGTAGACTACGGTAGGCGCCTGGATAACTGTAGGCTGTTGTTCTGGCGGCGGCGGCGGCGCGTGGTACATGATTTTTCGACGGCCGGCGTTGCAGTCCCGACGAGGTTGCACAGCGGCTCTAAAAAATTGAAAGTTCGTTTTTTTTTGTTTCGGACCGCCCAACAACTTACCGCTCCATCCCCATCTGAACACATTTCTGATAGCGACACGCTCGACAAATCACCCTCATCGCTGCAAAAAAACAAGCTTTGCACACGTTTTGTCAGAATTTTTCAAAAAATACCATAATTAACTCTGCAATTATTGTGATGGGTGCACAGGAAGTTCCGATTCAGCGTGACCGTTCGTCGGAAGAACGCGGCACACGCGGAGCACGACGGAGCATTAAAGTGATAGCCATTCGACGGCGCGCCGCAGATCGTGCACTCCTTTTGCGACGACGACGACGACGAACTCATTCCGTCCGACCAGTCTATCGATGGTTCTGGAGTTTTAACCTTCTTGTTAGAAAGAATGATAGTGAGAGCAAGTGCGCTCTGTCGGACTTTTTGAATTCACGTCATTTTTCGACCAATTTCTCGGTTCGAGCTATCAAAAAGCATGTAATCTCGTATTTTCTCATTTATTTTTCGGAAAATGTTACAAAGTCAATGAAATTGATCCAATTTTCCGGATAAATCTACTTTTCAGCGTTTGACGGCTGCCGCTGTTATAAATTCTAGTTTTTACGGAAACTCCTGCTATTTTCTATCAAAAAAAACATAGTTGCCACGGGCCGGGCCGGGCCGAAAATTCCAAAACTCCGGCCCGGCCCGGCCCGTCGGCCCGGTTCAAAAAGCGGGAATTCAAAATTTGAATTATTGATCGCATGAATCCATTTTTTGTAGAATTAGGGGTTTTTTGCAAGCATCGAACATTGAAAAACAAATGTATTTCTCATAAAAAATTCATAATAGCAAGAAAACAAAGAAGAAACACTAAAACTTTAGTTCGAAAATTTTTTTGTAATGACGAAAAAAAAATTTCCGCGAAAATTTGAATTCCCGCCTTTTGAACCGGGCCGGCACTTCACCGACCCGGCCCGGCCCGGGCCGGCACTTTACCGGCCCGGCCCGGCCCGGCCCGGGCCGGCCCGCATGGCCGGCCCGAAATCTGGCAAGTCTGAAAAAAAACCATCGGGAATTTGCTCTCGACACGGGCCACGCCCATTTCTGTGAAGGCTCATCACCGATAATACGCGGAACTTTTCCACAATTAGAAAAATTATAATTATTTCCCAAACTTACCGTTTGTGAACATAATGTGTGCCGTCGGATCGCTCAATAACCGGCTCATTTCCATCTGAAACGCGAAATTTGTCGAGTTTTCAGCCGGAATAACGAAAAAAACAGAAATCAGTTTGCAACGAATCGCGGCGAAATGATTAGAAATTCGGGTGGGTACACAGAACAAGGGCGAGAAATAATGCGAAGCGCGGAGGGGGCCGAGTGAGCCCATTTTTATCAGTAAAAGTGCTCACGTGTGTCTCTCCGCCCGCAGCACACGCCGTCATGAACACGGTCGGTATTGACGGAGCGGAGCGAAATAATGAAAAGTCTTTCGTTTTGCTGCTTACCTCTCACATTATTTTACGGGGCACCGGGTAGGCGGAGCTTCCGATCTTTCGATCAAAGATTCTCGTGTTTCTGCCATGCTCACGACACGTGGTCTTTTAGGGCGCAATGATCAACAATAGGGGAACACGGAACTGGACGATTTCAGCTGGATGTCGAACTGGTGGCCGTGGCCTAGAAATCAACAGTGAAAACGTCTTCCATTTCTTGTCTACAATAGACGAAAACTGAAATGGCCGAAGAATTTTCTAGGGTATACTTTGGGAACTCGGGGCCACAAACACGTCGTTTTCATTTACAAAAAAACCTCGGTGTTTCTAGGTTATTTACGCTGAAAAGTTTAGAAAATGCGGAAATTTTAGCAGACAACACAAACTGCCAATTAATTTCAGGATTTCTAGATTCTTATTTCCCTCCATCAGTGCGGTAGAGCTTGCATTTGTCCCCGAGACCATCGGAGCATGCATCGGAGCAGCACTTCTCAAAAACATCAATGTCCTCGTGATGACGTGTCCGGCGCACTTTTGAACATGCATAACACCCGCGTTTGTTGTCTGGTACGGCGATGACGGGTCACGCAGAGACACATTCTTAAACCTTTTTTTGTGATAATAAAGTTTATTGATAGTACAGGGGCCAGTAAATATACAGTATTGACACACACACACGCAGTCAAAATATTTCAATGTTTTAGCTCTTGGCAAGACGAGCTTAGGACGAGGAGGTGGAGGGAATTTCCGAGGATGAGATCTGAATTCACAAATAAATAAAAGTTATTCATCGGGGACCAGCACACTTACACTAATGCCCGAGGAGGAGAGTGCGAGTCGTTCTTGAAGAGGAAGCAGGAGGCTCATCGCCGCCGGATCGTGCGCGACAATGTAGGTGCGGAGGGTGTCGAGTGCGTGGCTCACGTCCTTGTCGGCCACTTTTATCTGGCAACTTCTCATCACGTTGAGGAACGTGGCGTCGCCCTGCCCGTCGTCGCCCATGTGGCGCTGATTCTGCTGCGACTGCGGGTCCTGCGGCGTCATCATCGAATTTATCATGTTCTGGAGGTGATTAGACGACGGCTCATGGACCATCGGCTGCGGAAAACTGGTGAGCGAGGAGAAGAAACTGGAGGCGAAGTCGTCGGAGGAGGAGCCGGTCGGATGGTGACCGAGGTACTGGTGGTGGTGGTTGAGCAGGGTGGGCGAGATGTCGTCCCGACACTCCTTCTCCACGTCGTCGTACATCTCGTTCTCGTAGCACACCGGAAAGCCCGTCATCGTCTTCAGATCGATCTTGTGACGGCGTTTGAACGCGTCCAGCCAGCCTTCCGATCCGCGGAATGTCTCGAGACCTGAAATATTCTGTTTTAAACTGCGGACTTTTAGCTCTGTGAAGTGTGCAAATTAGATTTAGTGCCGCTAACTCGAAGCGTTGAGCGGAAGTGCCCAAATGGAACTTTGCGGTAGGGCGCATTTGCATTGCTCAATAGATTATGTCAGAAGACAAAAATGCTTTGGCTGCTAAATGGAAAACATAATTTGTTTGCTATAAACTTTGCAAACTGCACTCGAACTAACCCATTTGCTTGGCATATCTCATTGCCTGATCCTTCAAATGCTTTCCATTGATGGTCACTCCAGCGGCCTGACACTCTTTAAAATGCTTCCAGACCATCTTATTCAGGTCCACATAGTGGGTCCGTCGGATCTTGCTCCGCGGACGCATCACGTCTCCGATGCTCTTCGCCGTCTCGATGGTTGCACTTGCTGGCGATCCGCTCGGGGATTCCAGCAGCTGTTGGGAGTCTTCTTCCTCGCAAAAGTGCTGGTCAAGGAGATGGCGTTCGATGAGGATCCGAGTGCCGATCGTCTCGTGAACGGATCGGAGCGAGCAACCGTAACGGGCGGCGATTTGCGGGAGCGGGAGTTCGGAATCGAACAATATCAGGATTTGTCGACGGAAGTGGAGGGGGAGCGGTTGCGAGTAGACGGTCCGTAAGAACGTCTGATTCGCAATGGGCGGTTTGTCCTGGAATTGGGCTAGTTGGAGTCGGCAAAAACGCTCTGCCGCACACAGTACTTCGCTCTAAACGTATTTTTCCGTTTTTCCTTGAAATTTTATTTACAATGCTCAGTTTTTCCACTTTTCTTGTTTTGAAATCGTACACAGGACACATTATCGAAAAACACTAGCAAAAATTAAAGATGACCGATATGTGGAGAAGTGTTCAATGTACGTCTTTAAAACAAGAAAAATTGGGAAAACAAGCATTTTTGCTGTAATTTCAAGCAAAATCAGAAAAATTGCATTTGAGGACGAAAATGGAAAACAGCAAAGTTCTGGGTGCAGAGGAGCACGATCGCTTAGCCAAGCGGGCTAGGATAGTCATAAAAGTTGGTATTGATTAGAATTTTGATTCATATGAAAGAGAGAGAGAGACAGAGACAGAGAGGGACAGAGACAGAGAGGGAGAGGAAGAGAGAAAGTGAAAACCGCCACGTAAGAGTTGAGATTGAAAAGTGTCAGAACTAAAAATTGGGTTTTCTCTCTCTCTCTCTTTCTGTCAATATATTAGGAAGAAGGAGAGAGAAGAAAATGGGGGAAAAGGAGGGGATTGGTTAGAAGCGAGGGGAAAAGGGGATGGCGAATGATGGAAGGGGAAAGGGGAAGCGACGGCGAAGAGAGAGAGAGAGAGAGGGAGAGAGAGAGTTTTCTCTCTCTCTCTTCTCACTACAAGAGAGAGAGAGAGAGAGAGAGAGGGAGGGAGAGAGAGAGAGAGAGAAAGAGAGTCGCCTTTCTTCTTCGCGGCCACACACACATACACACAGCCCCCTTCCCTCAAATATACAGGGGAGAGAGAGAGAGAGAGACTCTCACGATATGAGGTGTCTCTCTCTCTCTCTCTTTCCCCCTCTCTCTCTCTTTGACATGGAAGAGAGAGAGAGAAAGGGCGAGACGATTCTCTCTCTCCCTCTCTCTCTCTTTCCCATCTTTTTGACTTGATGTACACACACACACACACACACGAGAGAGAGAGAGAGAGAGAAAAGGGAGCGGAAATTGGAAGAGAGAGAGAGGGAGTCTCTCTCTCTCTCTTCTTCTTCTTTCTTCGCCCCTTGGAGAGAGGGGAGCCAGGCCAAAATGAGGGGCAAAAGAGGATACCCCTGAAGTGTCGACGAGTACGGCACCATGGATACGGCGTCCGAGCGCGCCCATGAAGATTTCAGCGTACTTGCACATCAGCGGAAGCTTGTCATTGGTTAGCCGGATCGGCGAACGCTTACGGTCTGCAATAGTCGAATTATAAGTTACAGTTATCTTGCTGACTTACCCGGCTGCCCTAAGAACAGGGAGCCATACTCCAACGCCTGCAGTTCGTGTAACCGTTCCGCGTAGTCCGCTCGAATGTGCACTCCAGACTTCTGGAACAATCCCTGCAGCATTCGGTAGTGCTGGGCGTTGCTGTTAAGATTTATTCCGTTCGCATTGAGCATCTCGTGCAGCGTAAGCTCGAGGACGCGATCGTTGAAGACAAAGCTGACGGGCGTGTCGATCGGCACTTGGAAGACGCCTCCCTTCATGATATCGTACATGGGCGTGTAGACGCACTCGTCGACCGTCACGTAGATGTCGCCCTGGAGGTACTCGGGCACTTGCTTCCACAGCACTGGCCACGGAAGATGGTTTCCCGGGTAGGCTAGGGGCTCCAATGGGATCTGTTTATCGCTGCGCATCAAAGAGACCAACATATGAGAGGCGTACTCGTCGAGACCCGTTTCCGCGTCATTTTTCGATTCTTCGTCGTATGCCGATGGCGCCGACGCCACCAAAGACTCTAGAGCACTTTGCAGTGTCTGAGTGGGAAGCGGAGCTTTCGGTTTCCTAGGTTGATAAGCCCTGGCCACTTTGAAAGTGGGCGGCAGGGTAGGTGGTCCCGAGAGCTGAGCGCCTTGCGGGACATCGTTTTCGCTCAGCGTCCGGTTCACAATCTCCGAGGCTCGTTCCGAAGTCACCGACGGTCGTTGTCGGTAGTGCGTGAAGTTCTTCGCAAGCAACTCCTTGACGGTCATCTCCATTCCCTGTGCACACAGACTGCCTAGTTCCTGTGCCTTATAATCCTGATCGTCAGCACCGGAGTTCGAGGGCGAGGGATCGTTAAGGATGGCGTCTAGGCAGCGGTTCGAGTAGGTGGTGAGCGGCACGCCATTCACTATCGTCGGGTACGCCTGAAGTAAAAAAAAAACGTTTATATTTTCCCCGAAACCACGAGTCCACGGGACGGAAAGGAACATGGTTTTTTCGTTTTCCAAAGGATTTCAAAACGGTGTATCTCAGCTGTTTGCAGAAATATTCAGAAGTTGTCAACTAATTTATCTCTACAGACAACAGTGATACACTGCATTGAATAAAAGGTTAATTCAATTTGCTAAAAATAAATCATTTTCAAATTATCTTCAAATGCTTTCTAGTGATGAAAGTGCTAGCAATTCAGAAAATAAGAAAAACTTCAAAGATTTCAATCTCCTCACCTTGCTAACGGAGACCGACTGAACGGAATTCTTGACGACACGGATTGGCGATCGGACGATCAGTTGTGGTACGATAGACGGATGCACAAGGGGAGATGGGCGGGTTAGAGCCGGAGCTGAAGCCGGAGCTTCCGGAGCCACATGCTTTTTCGTTTTTTTCACAGGAGGCTAAACAATTTTCAACTTTCCTCATTACACAAAGCGATTCTAAGATCCTACCGGCACGTCGATCGTGAACGGAGTCACCGGAACCACAGTTCGGCAGGAGCGTCGGAGATTCGGAGTACTATCAGACATGTTCGAGCTGGAAAATCAAAGGAAAACAATAATGGGGTGAATGGGAGAGATAGAGAGAGAGAGAAAGAGAGACTGGCCAGAGAGAAAGAGGAAAAGCGAGAGAGCACGCGGATGGAAGAGACTCGAGACAGCGCGAGTCGGAGAGATTGGGCCGGGTGGAGAGACGGAGAGCGCGCAGAAAGTGCGAAGAGAGAAAGAGAGAGACAGAGAGTGATGTACAATTCTCTCTGCTTCTCAGAGTCTCTCCATTATAGATACTTTTTTTCGGAATGTCATCAACGTCGTCGTGGCTGCTGCCGGACTCGATGCACGAAAAATAATTGGGCGGAGGATACGGTAGCGCTGATTTGAGTGGGAACACGAAAAGGCGAAGGCAACTGTTTTTGGGCGTGAGATTGTGCGAACAATTGGGCACAAAACATTTATAGAACACGGAAAAAGACATGCAAAAATTCTGAATACTTTACAGTCACATTTGTGGAAATAAATCGAACAATTGAGCTTTTTTTTAAATTTTGAAACTAATTTTGGATTGAACGTGTTTTGAATTTTAAATGTTAGACTTGAGAAAAATTTTCACTTTAAAAAGAAAGTCAGTTGAATTGAGATAATTAGATAATTGTTGAAAATGCTGGAATAATTAAAATTAAAGTTTTAATCAAGAAACAATTGAAACTCACAGAGGATATCTCGACTTTCAATCGAAATTCTGGAAATTCGAAAATGAAATGCAAAAGTTTAAAGGGAGTTTTCCTCACAAAAGCAACAGGTCTCGCAACGAATCGGCCGCTACAGTAACCCGGACCGCGCAAATTTTTAGGCCCGACGACGCTTTAAATAATTTAGTGTCAGGCTGCCGTGATTAGCAGCAACTTGTTGTATTCTTCTCGATTTTCGACTAGAATATTCAAAAAATTGCGAATATGGCTGAGAACGATTGTTGGAACGACGCTTCTGGTAAATTTTATCTATTTTCTCGCGAATATTCGATGTTCTATCGCTAATTTGCTAAAACTGTACTGAAACTCAAATTTTGAAGCAATTATTGGTTGAAAATTCGTTTTTTTTTTTGCGGATAATTTTCAATAATTAATTTCTCTTCAAAGTTTGAAAGCTTTGGCAATCACATTATTTCAGCGAACACCGGCTTCGGCGGAAAATCGAGTGGTGGAGGCTTCGGTGGCTCAAAATCGTCAGGATTCGGAGGCGGCAACTCTGGAAGCGGTGGCGGTTTCGGAGGCAACTCTGGAGGAGGTGGCGGTTTTGGAAGCAAATCTGGAGGCAGTGGCGGTTTTGGAAGCAACTCTGGAGGAACCGGCGGTTTTGGAGGAAGTTCCGGCGGCGGCGGCTTCGGAGGAAGTTCCAGCGGCGGCGGCTTCGGAGGTACCTCTGGCGGTGGTGGCAGCGGTAGTGGTTTTGGCGGAAACTCTGGGGGAGGAGGAGGCTTCGGAGGCGGAGGCAACTCTGGCTTTGGAGGAGGTGGCGGTGGCTACGGAGGAGGCGAAAGAGGAGAACGAAACAACAGTATGTTTGGCGAAAAAACTTCGCCAGCAGCCATAATTTTTCCTCAGACTGCTTCAACTGCGGCCAGTCGGGTCATCAATCTCGTGACTGCCCGGAGCCCCGCAAACCAAGAGAGGGAGGAGATCGCCCAAGAAGTAAGCTCAAATCATCCTACAGGTTTTTAGCTATGCCATTTTTCAGACTGTTTCAACTGTGATCAGCCAGGACACCAGTCCCGCGAATGCACCGAGCCACGTAAGCCGCGCGAACCGCGAGGCTACGGCGGAGGCGGAAACGATTTCGGATCCTCTAACACTGGAGGATTCGGAGGAGGTGGTGGCGGGTTTGGAAGCGGTAATGATGGTGGATTCGGTGGCGGCAACGACGGGGGTTTCGGCTCTTCGGGAGGCGGTTTTGGTGGTGGCGGCGGACCTGAAGAACGTGGCCCCATGACGTGCTTCAACTGCAGAGAAGAAGGGCATCGTTCGGCGGACTGCCCAAAACCGCAACGTGGATGCTTCAACTGCGGCGAACAGGGACATCGTTCTAATGAGTGTACGAATCCGCCGAAGCCAAGAGAAGGCGGAGAGGGAGAGACGATGAAGGCGACCTACGTGCCGGAAGAGACCAATCTGGAGGACGTGTTCAATCTTCAGACGATCAAAGAAGGACTCATGTTCGATAAGTTTTTCGATGCTCAAGTGGTTTTGACGTCTTGTGGAAAAGCTGTAAAAGTTCCGCCATGCAAACAGTTCGACCAAGCTCGTTTGGCCCCCAAGATGAGGGAAAATGTGATGCATGCTGGATACTCGAGAACTACGCCGATTCAGCAGTATTCGCTGCCTCTTATCCGTGATGGCCACGACATCATGGCCTGTGCGCAAACAGGATCCGGAAAGACGGCTGCTTTCCTTCTGCCAATCATGTCGAGACTTCTGGAAGAAAGCGACTTGAACACAGCCGGAGAAGGTGGATGTTATCCGAGATGCCTCATTCTGACCCCTACTCGGGAACTTGCCGACCAAATCTATAACGAGGGAAGAAAGTTCTCGTACCAGACGATGATGGAGATCAAGCCGGTGTACGGAGGACTCGCCGTCATCTACAACAGAGGACAACTCGAGAAAGGATCCACGATCGTCGTCGGAACCGTCGGAAGAGTTAAGCACTTCATCGACGAAGGAATCATCAAGCTTGGAAAAATCAAGTACCTTGTGCTAGATGAGGCTGATCGCATGATTGATGGCATGGGATTCGGACCAGACATCGATCAAATTGTCAACTACCCGGAAATGCCACCGAAGGAGAATCGCCAGACTTTGATGTTCTCAGCTACGTTCCCGGATTCCATTCAAGACGCTGCTCGCGAATTTTTGCGTGAGGACTACACGATGATCACCATCGACAAGATCGGTGCTGCGAATAAGTGTGTCATTCAAGAATTCGTTCTTTGTGATCGTAGTGAGAAAAAGGACAATCTTCTGGAAATGCTGAATATTGATATTGAATCCTACACCGCTGCCAAGAGTTAGTTGTTGCCTCAAAAATTAAAGTTAACGTGTGCTTCAGATGCGGAAGTGTTCACCAAGAAAACCATCATCTTCGTCTCACAACGAGCTATGGCTGATACTTTGGCCTCTATTCTGTCTAGCGCTTCTGTTCCGGCTATTACAGTACGCCCAACTAATTTTATCCTGATTAGATTGTATTTTTCAGATTCATGGTGCACGCGAGCAGCGCGAGAGGTCGGAGGCGTTGCGTCAATTCCGTTGTGGGCTGAAGCCCGTTCTGATTGCTACTGCCGTCGCCGAGCGTGGATTGGATATTAAGGGTGTTGACCACGTTATCAATTACGATATGCCGGACAACATTGATGACTACATTCACAGAATCGGAAGGTTCGTCTGAAGGAGTTCTTAATAATTAATCAGTTATTATCAATAAGTCTAATCCTACATATTTGCAGAACTGGTCGTGTCGGAAACTCTGGTAGAGCTACAAGCTTCCTCGGAGAAGACTGCCCACTCATCCCGGATCTGTTGCGTGTTCTTGCCGATGCCGAGCAGATTGTTCCAGAATGGATGCAAGGAAGAGCTAGTGGAAACTACGGAAACTCCGGTCATTTTGGAGGAGCTGCTCCGCAAACCCAAGAAGAAGAGGTCTGGTAGATAGTCAACTACCAACCAGATGTTATTTATCTGTTAAATTTTATCATTCCCCTAGCCTTTTCTATTGTTCCCTTTTTATTGTTTTAAATTTCTAAGGTTCCGCATTAGAGTCATTTTAGTGCTCCCCAATAGAGAAACGCGTGATGAATTCAACTCAATAAACTCATTTCTCAAAAAGAGTCGAAGTCACAAAGGCTCACACAACTCATTTGACGTGGGGGTCAAAAAAAACTAACAACTCAACAACTCATTGGGCGTCGGTAGTGGTACATTTCGAGTTTGACGTGAACTCGGTTCGAAAATAAATAGTAGCGTTAGAAGTTCCACACTCAATGTGCAGGTTGTCCACTTTTCGGCCCGGAAGACTGTAGCGAGATGGCCTTCCACGTGGAACGAGACGGAAATAAGAATTTCAAGCTTAACGACACCTTGAAAATGAATATTTTTGATTTGTAGATGTTTTTATACAGTTCAATTGTACACGTGTTTTCTCGTGTTTCCCGAACTCTGTCCCAAACGTTCTCCGGATTTGGAGATGGATTGTAGTGATTGCTTTATTAGGTTTTCGTCGAATCCATGGCCGACTATCCGTGTTCCTTGTCGCTTCAAACAGCAACGCACAATCAAACTGAACAGAACCTTCGATCAGGAGAGACATTCGTTCTATTCGCAAATGTCGGAGTACCAATTGGAGCGTGAACAGCTCCGTGAGTCTCTTGAGGAGAAGCAGGATGTCAAGACTGGATGTAGTAAGACAGTTGCGGAAGGCCAACTCGGAGATTCAGCATACACACAGATTTCAGCATGTTACCATACTTTTCCCCTGTATATTGGGTCCAAATTAAAGACCGATCGGACTATCGACTCTCTGTTGAATGCTTGCATTCGAAATCGGAAATCCTTCAGTTCCTCATCGCTCTTTTTTCGACTCCTCTTGGCACAGTGCCATGACGTTTCGAAATCCCAGGTTGAGGATTCGAAAAAAGAGTGTTGAAACATTTTCGACACAGGATTTTCTACAATTCACTCTAATCACTCTAACTATTTTCTTCTAGTTTTAATTCGACAATAAGCTCTTGTGTGCTTTGGAGTGGAATTCATTCCAAGCTTCATGAGCCTTTTTGACTGCCACGTAAAAAAAAAGAGTTTAGTGACGCTTTTCGACTCTTACAACAAACTCATTCCAAAGGGATGTTAGAAATGACTCTTCCAGTGAGAAATGAATCGAAGAAACGCGGCAAAAGTTGGGTGCAGCGTTGGTCAAAAGTTGGTTCATGCGGAACCTTATAAATTTCCCGTACATAGTAGATTTTAGGATTCCGTTAGAAGTGACAACGATGTTAAGTAGAAACTGATGAGAATGTTAGGTGATAACACGCAAACGTCTGCACCGCAGACACTATCACTAAATTTTCCTCTTGTGATTGATTGTGAATTTTCAATCATCATAAAGAGGGAAAAATATTTGTACCCGCCACGTTTTCATTGTTTTCTATCCGTCTCTCTCTCTCTCTCTCTCCCAATAAACTGTTATGACTAGCGGAACCGTTGTTGAAATGTCTTCTGAGAAATCGGAGCCCCCTCTAGACTCTGTAGAGTCTACGATTGATAGTAAATGTGATATGTGAGTTGATTCTCCGTTTTCCGGTTGAAAAGAATCGCTTTAGATCTATAGAGGATCGGCAGACTTCATGGCAGTCTATATACCTTCTGACTGCCATCGGAATGTTCTGCGGAATTCAATTTTCCATTTTCTTCCCCACTCTTTGGCCCTTCCTGAATACAGTGGATCCCACGGCTTCTGCCTCTTTCTTCGGATTCATTACGGCCGCCTTTTCGGTCGGTCAGGGAATCGCTTCGCCCGCGTTCGGATATTGGATGAACAGAGCAAAAAGCGGTAAGTTTGTCTTTTTGAAAAAATTGCATTTATTCCGAAATGAAAGCGTTTGCAGTGCGTCAGCCTCTTGTCTTTGGAATTTCCGTGATGATTCTCTCAAATATAATCTTCTGTTTTGTGGAGGCGTTTAAGGAAAAAGAAAGGCGATGGGTGATGATGGCGGCCCGCTTCTTCATCGGCGTCGGCGCCGGAACCGTCGGCGTGATGAGGGCGTACGCGGCCACGGCGAGCAGTCTCAAGGACCGCGCCAGGGCGATCACTTTCATTCAGGCCTCCTATGTGATTGGCATGACACTCGGACCCGGCATTCAGGTATGGTTTCGGTCACAAAATTCCACTAGGAGCGCTTCGCGCCAGAACCTTTTCGCGTTGTTCTAAAGATCTTACCCTCAATTCCTTATCTTAATTCTACTTTCCCTGTCAGAAGATTATTTGTCTTTCTCCCGCATTTCCGCTCCACGTGGTTGCGTCATCAGATAGAGAGAGAGAGAGAGAGAGAGTTCAGGGTCTGGGTGCGAAGGGAAAAGGGCGAAAACTTTTCTTTTCGAGGTTTTTTTCGAGCAATAAGTTGAGGATTTACGCGGTCCAAATAGGCATCACAGTGAGTAGTCGAGTCATAATTATAGGTTCATCACTGAAATTAACCAAAGCGTCCACTGAATCATTGTTTATTTTCAGCCATAACGTCTTCTAAGACGGATTATGACCGTTTTACATAAATTTTCGACATGCCTCTCAGTCCCTGATTTTTTCGAATGAACGGTTCTATGAACAATTTCTTCTTCGACGCTCTTCTACAGTATCCCTCGATTTCAGGTGGCGTTCACTCCGATCGGCTATCCGGGTCTTTCGTCTGGCGCGATCCACGTGGACATGTACACGGCGCCCGCGTGGTTCGCCTCGATCGTCTCGCTGCTTTCCGTCCTTTTCATCTTCATTTTTCTCGAGGAAAACTATGCGGGTGTCGACAAAGAGGAGGATGATGAGGGTAAATTTTCTTGAATAATCCTATCCGGAAGCCTGAACTTTTTCTCAAAACGCCTCTTCTAGTTGTCTTTTTAGAAGAGTGTATTAGCATCAATCAGAAAAACGAGAAAGTTCGTAATTCGCGTCGTTTTCAGACCCGTACACGGCAATGCCGACGTTTGATACGATATCAGTGGCGGTGTGTGTTTTGACGCAGTTCACTCTCATGTTTATCATCACCAACCTTGAAACGTATGCTCTTTGATTCGATTCGATTTGATTAAAAGTTCCGGGTCGGCTAAAGGCGACCAACTTTTCCGGGTTTATCAGAAAGTTCCGTTTGGTTATCATCAAGTCAAATTAATCAGCCTTTGAACCGAAGCTTAATTCTTCTCACGGTCTCCAGAGCTTACAATGAGCGCAAGTGCGCCCCGCCCAATAGAGCGACACATTGGGGTGAAATTCAAATTTTAGCAGCAAAATTTGTGTTTTTTGCCAGATTAGCCACGAAAAACCGTTAATTTCTCATTTGTCTCTCGATAGACCGATTGTATAGGCTAATACGAATTTTTTAAGCGCAAGAGCGTTAAATTTGGTCAAGTCGCAAATCACATTTATCCGTTTGAAGGTTTTGGCTAAAACCGCGTGAATTTCAGTTGCTTTTCGGTAGTTTTCGCGGTTCGAGCGCTCAAAATGCTTGTATTTACGTGATTTATCATTCTCAAAACCAATTCTGTCTGAAAACGGTCAAGAAAGCGCAAAATGAAAAGTGCGGTTTTTAGGCGGCGATGGGCGGCGAAGGCGAAAAAGCGAAATCCGCGAAAAATGCGCCAAAACGTCATTTATTCTGAGAATTAGTGTATTTTCATGTCGAACAACCATTTTTCATCGCCTTTGACCACAAAAATCAGAGAAAACCTGCTCAATTCATGAAAACGCCATTTGGCCGAGGCCACGCCCATATTGTCAGCTCTGGAGATCGTGGTTTATCAGAAAGTTCCGTTTGGTTATCATCAAGTCAAATTAATCATCATCCCTTGAACCGAACCTCCTTCTTTTCATTCTCAGAATCGGAAGTCTGTACGCGAAAATGATGTGGGGATGGACGAATGCGCAGGCGGTCGAGTACACAGGTACCCGGAAATTGACGAGAAAAATAGCTGAAAATCGATTAAAATTTTAAAGGCATTCTTCAAGCGGTCAACGGACTCGTCGGAGTTTTGGTCTACGCGCTTTTCGCAGTGAAGCTCGGCGACTAGTGAGTTCACATTTTGAAACGATTTTTCGCGATAACCATCGAGTTTCCGGTTTTTTTATAGTGAGAAATGATCCTTCGCATCTTTCAAAAATTCTACACCGTCGTTTTACAAGTACCCCATTTTCCAGCCTCTCGCAAGCGCGTGAACGTATTTTCACAATTTTCGGTCTCTTTTTGGGCGTTCTCTACCACGTCGTCACGTATCCGTATCCGTGGGGCGGCGATCTAAAGTACGAGCTGAAGAACGTGACGATTCACGGCAAAAATCAGACGGAAGAGTTGGGGTGCAATCCGCAAAAGTATCACTGGTGCACCTACACAAAAGACGTACGTTTTTGGCTTTACCGCACTCGTGTTTCGGTAGCCAAATAGCACTATTGACAGACGTCGAAGAAACGATTCAAAAAATGTTTTTAGGTAAACTTTTGGATTTACGCGACAATGTACGGCGTGGTGCTCGCCGCCTGCTTCCCGATCGTCAACATTTCGATGAATACGCTGTTCAGTAAAATTTTGGGCGCCCGACGGCAGGGAACGATGCAGGGAATCATGTTGATGTCGGGAAGTTTCGCGCGAACCGTCGGACCGATGCTCGTCTCGTGGATATTTCAGGAGTGGGGTCCTGAGCCGATTTGGGGCATTGAGGCAAGGATCAAAAGTCACTTCGGCGACGATTGTCAATAGAGCGCATTTTTCAGATTTTCACCCTCTCCGTTACCGCCATCTTTTGGATCGTTTGCTATCGTCGGATGACTCCGTTGAATTCGAACCCGAAATTGGAGCCCTTCGAACATTTCCACTACGCAAAGGGAGTGCGCTATCGGATTTGAGAGGTTTCGAGTTCACATCTGAAAGAAAAAACAAGAACGAAAACAAATTATTATTATAATCGAGCAAAAACAAAACATTGGAAATAATAAAGATCTCTAAATTGTTCTAAGCAACTCCTAACTGTACAGTCAATGGCTTTTCAGCTCTTTTTTAGGGTTTTCCTCTTGTTCTTCTTCTTCCTCTTCCGCTCCGAATTCCCTCAAAAACTTCTTTTTCGCCTCTTCCAGCTGACTTTGCGGCGTTTCCAGCTCGAAAAGTGGTCGTTCAGCTCGGGGGAGCATTTTCGGGTCCGTGACGATGCCGTCCGCGAGATTCAGTTTCGCTTCGTGCTCCAAAATTTTTTCCGTCTGGAAAATGGAATAGTTTAGACACAGCTGCCAAAGTCGATGCTGATTTTGCATAAAATTCATCATACCGTCTCATTCCACTCGTATCCACTGGGAGATCCGACCAACAAATGGCGCAATTTTCCCCCGCTCAGCGCGTTCACTCTCTCGAATTCTTCGTCCGACATCTTCGGGATTTCGCGCCGGATCGTCGATGTCATAATCGGATTATCCAGGTCGTCGGTGACTGCTTTCTCGTCGGAAGACGTCGACATCACCAGAAACAGCCGCGAGTTCTCATCTTCGACGAACGCGTTCCCCCGAGCATCCTGGACGACGTTCTCGTTCTCCAGAAGTCGCGTCTCCGCCTCCACCTGCCGGAACGCCTGCTCGTAGTCCACTCCGAGCACTTTTAAGCTCGGAAGAGTGTCCTCGAGCAGCAAAGAAGCTTTGCCGATATCTTTAGAATCCAATCCTTCCAATCTCAAATACTTCAACTTCTTCGACATCTTCAAGCCCATCAATCCTTTGGCCGATATTCTATGACAACCGGACAGATCGAGCATTTCGAGATTCGGCAGAAGTCCTCCGATCCTTCCTACACTCCAATCGTCAATATATTCACAATTGGCGACTCTCAGAAGACGCAAATGTTCGAGTCCTTCCAGGTTTTCTAATCCTTCGAACATTAGCTGCGTTCCGGAGGCGTCGATTGCCTCAATGTGCAGATTGTCCACTTTTCGGCCCGGAAGACTGTAGCTCTGTAATTTTCGAATTTCGGGATAGGCAAGTGCTGCGCTCTACCGGTACTCACATTATACTTATCCTTTTTGTACCAACTATCATCGCCTACAAACTTCACGGCTGCTCCGCGATGCACCAAAAAATGGGCGGCCGCCAAATCGGGACCCAAAAACAACAAGCGCTCCGGAATTACTCTGAAAGCTCAGCAGTTTCCAGAGGAATTCGAATTTGCGTAGAAATGCTCACCTTTGATCGTACTGCATGTGCTGGAATTTCTTGTAGCGTCTGTATCTTTTGACGTTGTCAATCGAGTGATCCACGTAGCGCATTTGAGTGTGCCACGTCAGCAGCTCCATCGGCAACTGTCCCGTGTCCTTGCGGGTCATGTCTGCCGGCGCTTTTTTGGGAGAAACTGCAAAGTTTTACCACTTTTCTCAACATTTTTCGGGAAACTCACGATCGTCGGGTCTTTCTGGGGTGATGTAAAGGCCTGTGGGCAATTTGATAAAGTTCTGATTTCTCTGCTTCTCCTGGACATGCTCTGCCTGTAAATAATGAGGTTTTAAATTAATTTTTTATATTTCTTACATGCGCTGCTTGCATCTCCTGCCATCGCTTGAACCGCGACCACTTGTGCACCCATCCGTTTGTTCGAGCACTTGTTCGCACGTGCCTGACGACGCAGTGCACCCGATTCATGCTTAAAACTGTCCAAAATTATGAGAACCCCATAATTTCTCGCTGGAGAAAAAATACATTCGTGTAGATTTACGCAGAGCGGTTAAAGGCGCACGCTATATTGCGGCCGCGATATCTCGCCACGAACGACGAGAGACAATGGAAAGTGACGAGACTCAGAAACTGGGGCTCGAGTAGATTTACTGGATTTGAATGCACTTTCATCGTGGCCTTTGACCGATTTTTTTGCACATTTGCTTCCAATCTGTTATTTATTTCATTTTATTCTGTAGAGATTCATATATTCTAGCAGGAAAATGGTTCTGACTGTTGCTGAAGCCAAGAAGTTGACAGTTCCACGTCTGAAGGAAGAATTAGCCAAACGAGGACTGGACGCCTCTGGAAACAAGCCGGATTTGCTCTCCCGTTTGACGGAATACATTCAGCAGGTAGGCATATTTATTTATCGATTAATTTCTGAGCTCATACGTGGTTTTCAGGCTGCCGAAGACCTGATTCTGGGTGACAGCGCCGCCGACGAGCATCACCTTCTCAATGATGACATTCTCAACGACGACGACGATATTCTGGATGCTCCTAGCATTGACGGCGAGCAGGATGCGCTCGACACGTCGGCAGTGATCACAAAGACGGAAGGATCGAAGGCTGAGACGGAAAGCGAGAAGAAAGAGGTCATTTTGGCGGAGAAGAAGACCGCCGGAAGTGTGGAAGAGGCTCAGCGGCTCCGCGCCATTCGATTTGGCATCCCTCTGAGCACAGAGGCTCTCAATTCGGACAGCGCCAAGTCAGCCAGAGCCGACCGGTAAAATAATGCGGAAAAACAATGTTCCAACGATTTTTTTGCAGATTTGGCATTCCAAAAGACGCAAAACTTCTATCGTCGGACGAGGCAAAAGCTAAACGGGCAGAACGATTCGGATCGGATAACGGATCCACCGAAAAGCCGTCGGATGAGAAATTGGCTGCTCGAGCTGCCAGATTCGGGCTTCCAGTCGGCGGAGCGTCTGGAGGTCAGGCAGAAAAGCTGGCAGGCCGGGCAAAACGGTTCGGAGGACCGGCGACGGCGGTGGTTGATGATGAGGAGACGGCGGCGAAGAAGAAGGCGCGGTTGGAGCGATTTGGAGCTGGAGCGAAGTGATGAGATCTCAAAAATACGAATTGTTAAAACTATTCTATTCGATTCTGCTATACCCATACACCCAAGTACCTCCTTTTTTATCTCGTCTAATTATCCGTCTCTACAAACTTGATTTTCCCCTCTAAACCAAATCCTTTCTTTTTCAATAATTTTATTACTATAAAAGTTCTTCGGAAGTATTAAAGTGTTGTCTGGCGGTCTCGATTCGCACGCATCGATACAATACCTGACCAGTTTGCCGTTTTGAAGCGCATTTTTATCATCTAAAATCAGATGGAGCAAGCGGACGACGAAATCGAGGCGGTGTGCAGTTTCTACGACGGAGTCCACGTGGAAAAGTCAGAAAAAGAGCGGAAAGTGCTGCACAAAATCCGGTCGTTGGAGGACGCGGAGACGTCGGCCTCTGTCCTTCTGGATCTCCGAATACCGGAAGGCTATCCGGCCGTTCCGCCGCGTGTCATTCTTTCGAATCCACGTGGAATCGGCGAGACCGAATTCAAAGAATTGTGTCGGCTTGTCGACGATTTGATTGCGGAAAACGAGGAGATGCCGATGATTTCAGCCATCTTCCAGTTTTGCAGTCAATTCCTCGACGAAAATCAGTACAAAAACATGGTGTGCTCGATTTGCCTCACCGATCTTTCCGATTCTCCGATCTCGGTGACGCCGTGCGAGCATTCGATGCACTCTTTCTGCTATTGTCGATATCTCAAAGAGTGTCTGCACACGATTCGAGTCGAACTCGACGACGCGCAGCCGCATCTGAAGGCCCAGGTCGACACGGTACTCGTCGAAAAAATCCGGGGCGCCCAACATTTGTCGAGCTTTTTAGAGTGTTGCTTGTCCGGTTTGTCGTGAAATTCTCAGCGAAAAGAAGGATTTCGAAGCGGAAATATGGAAAATGATTGGAGAAGCGAAGGAAAAACAGAGGATTCTGCCGAAGAAGAAACGACGAGCCAGCTCAACGAAAAAAGACGCCGATTTGGCAATTAAACGGTTCGAATGAAGGGTGTTCAGTATTTTGCGAAAATTTTTGTTTCTTCCAGATGGCGTGAAAAGCAGCACTACCTCTCGCCGATATTTGCAAAGCAAAAAGAGAAAGGCGGTATAATCGATGTCGAGGAAGAACGGAAACGCTCTCAATTTTTCATCGAAACTAACGTGAATTCGGAATCGTCGCCTTCCGAATCCACAGAAGAAATTTTAGTAGCGATTGACACAGTTAACATGGGATAAACTTGTATTGTGATTATTAATAAATAATTACATGCTGTGTGTACCCCTTTTGATGTGCCTAAAGTTATTCTTGAGAAAGTCAAACAAATATCGTTTATGAAACGCCGTTGACCACTCCTATTTTTCGTCGCTTTCATTGTTACTTTCATGTATCGACAATTTTCAGAGTTTTTAGCTGAAAATTAAGGAATTTGGCCGTCTTCTTTGAACTTTTTAATGAATCGTGTAAAATGAGAACTAGCCAAAAAGTTCACAGCTGTGTGACAAAACGTCTCACCAAAATGTGCACGGATCGACACAAATAGAAGAGAAAAACAGTGAGGGAAACCATCTGAGAATCTATCGTTTCGAGTTTCGCGTGGCGGTGGGTCAAACTGTTGAACAGTCACTGACTTGGGCATCATTACGTGTTTGTAGCATGGTACGCGTTGCGGCATGCATTGCGGTCTCTCCTCTCGACAGTCCCACTCTTTCCGGCAGAACGATTCTCTTTGTTTTTTTTCTCGTCCACGAGTACTGCCTGCCTTCCGAAAGACCATAGTTTCGCGCGCACTCTCATTAAAGGCGCGTCGATAATTCTTTCACATCGCTGCAAGACTCATTGATCAGTTTGACCTACCGCCCCGTGAAACTCGAAACGATTGATTTCCGGCAGGTTTTCCTCACGGTCTTTTCTCTTTTTTGCTTCGCTCTGATCACATTTTGGAAAAAACAAATAAACATCGAATTAGACGATCACCTAGTCAGTTGTTTTTTTTTAGAAAGAATTTATCAATCTCTTTCGTTGTTTTAACACAGAAAACATACAAACTTGCACTCTAGCCTTAGTTAACCAATTAAAGTTCTATTCGGGGGTGCACTCGATCTTGGAAAACTTTACTGCGTCCGATCGGATCGGAAATGGGATCGAATGATGATCGACGCGTTTGCCTCCTTCTTCCCCTCCCTCCGGCCTATCCGATTTCTTCTTTTTCTTCATTGCGGTCACTCCCATCGGTCTGTTTGTTACAAAGTGTCCTTTCCGTCGTCCTTCCGTCCCGTCCGTCTTCTTCTTCTTCTCGAGACCACAACCACCGCCCTTTTTCCATTTTCTTCTTGTCGAGTAGAAACATAACAAATTGTTGAAGCGGCTTCTTTTCTCAACACATTCTTTTCATTTTTCGACAGTTTCTGTACGAAACTTTTTTGATTTAGTCCAGGAAAACTTGAGACTCTCAGTTTTTCATAGATAAACTAAGACTGGGCTCCAGAGCCTGGAAAATGGATTCATTTGCTTTCAACTTATCGGACCCAATCCTTATTAATCCTGGTGTGAAGGGACACATATAGGACTGAAACTTTCGATGACAAAACATGGCAAGTAGGCCAAAATATCGGTCCCTCAAAAAAATCCTTCAATTCTCTTCCGGAATCCGAAGCAGTGAGTGACACTTCGGCGCCACTTGTCTTCGTGTCAAGTTGAGGAGCGCGAGAAGAGAAACAGACGCGGAACATCTGTGCGAATAAGAGAGTGGCACCAAGAAGAACTCAACGCACTCTCCGCTTCCAAGAGGCTCAAGAGAGATAGAGAGAGAGAGTGAGAATTGGAGTGAATTGGTTTCGGCCTCTTTTCGCTCAAGTATTTTTTGTGAAAACTAAACTTTTGCTTTCTGCGCTCTATAAAACAACTATATGAACCGGATACGGATTACTGACGTTTTATGCGATTTCCCTCAAAAAACCGCCCATCAAATTCGAAACTCAAACGACCAATGCAAAAAGAAAAAAGAGAGCGAAGCATCCGAATATGTACTCTCTATTCACACGACGATTTCGTAATATAGTTGAGAAATGGAAATACATCTGTTTGTTTGAGGCCTTCTTGTACTATTCCCCCTTTTTCTCTATTTGTGGTCTAGTCCGGACTGTCTGCCTTTTCCCTTCCCCACTTTTCATACATATGATTTCATTCGCCTCTTTCCGTTACGATGAGTCGTCTCGATTATTATTGTGTTGACTCACCATACAGGGTCGGCGCTTATAAAGAGAAAGTGAGTGAGAGAGAGAGAAACAAATAACAGAATTTATGATAACTAACCCATCATCTGCATAAATTCATTTCTCTAATTCTCTTCCCTGTTTCTAGTTATGAACTGAAAATCATAAGTGAACAGGAATCGCCGCAAAGTTTTGTAGAATAGAGAAAATCGTCTTGAGCTTGAGAAGCCTGAGTAGAATATAATGGAGAATCCACAAAGACTCTAATCGATTTCATTCTGAAAGCCAAAGGTAACTGTGGGTCATTCCATAGTAAGTCCAGTGGTGGAAGCCTTCAAAGTTGGCCGTTGTTTTGACGTGACAAATTGATCTGTAAGTGTTTTTATTGGCCTAAACACTTTTCAGGCTTCCACTAGTATTAGGTCATAGGAAAGCTCCTGAGTCCTGAGCCCAAGACTTTTCCTACCCCGGCCCAATACAATGTTCTCTTTTCTTCAGAAGTCTGTGTAAGCATACTTGTACGAATCAAACATGTAAACGTGAAATTCGTTAAATACAGTTAGGGGGCGCAACAAAGGGGGCGTGGCCTGCCGAATTTTCTCCCAAGTTTCGCGCGCGCATGTTTGAGGCCATGTACCGAGGTCCACAAATGAAGTACCATACTCAAAATGATTTACTTTATGTAATCGACCATGCTGAATCCAATGAACAACTCAGTTTCCCGTGAAAACGCACCGTTTTTCTAAAAAACGGCGAAAACGAAAATGGAACTCAGTCTGAGAGCTCGTGTGGCCGGAGTTTGTGCAACACGCGGCTAATTTTTTGTTAATTTACAGTTTAAGTGATGGGGAATCCGTTTTTGAAATAAAAATCAGATTTCGTCTTCTCCGTTTTTTTTTACAGGCCCTCAAACTGGCACAAAAAGTTGTGAAAAAATTTCAGCGATGACCATACTTTTTTATTTTCAGAATCTATAGATAAACTCTCTGAGAACTCAAATATAAATTTTGAGAGCTCTAGACACCCTAGGAGCATTTTTGTGTTCATTTGAGTGGAGCCGGTTTTGCCGAAATTTCAGTTTTCGGGGGATTTAGCCGTCACAGGTACCTGACACGCGGCTAATTTTTACAAAATCGGATTCAGCATCCAATTTCCGATCGATTCATGCTAAAATTTTCAATTTTCTAATTCTCCGTTTTTTTTAAAGTGACTGTAAACAGTTACAGTTTTGGATTTGTGTGTGCAAAACCACTGATGTCACACCTAGAAGGGGGCCGCGCAAACCGACGTTCTCATTGCCATTGGTGGTCGGCGCGCCCCCGCCCGTTTGGCGCAGTGGCAGAGTGCTCACTCGGCAGTCTGGAGGTGTCGGGTTCGAAACTTTTGACCTTGAAAGATGTTTTGCTTTTTTAGAACATCATTTTTCTTCAATTTATATGTTGCCTCTTTGGTTTCAGCCACCAAACAGAGGCGAAAAACGCGTGCGGCGGACTTGCAGGCGAGACTCCGCCCCCTCCTCGGCTGCTGACCGCTGAGAAAACAGGTCAACTTTGAATGGGTGTAACTCGGGATGTACCGAAAATTTTGGAAAAAAAAATTGGGAGCGTACTCATATAGAGTAGGGGAACACATTCCAACAAGAATTTTGTGGAAATTCGGAGTTTTGCGAAACCCGTTGCGGTCCCTAAATACAGTCCGTCTTCTTACGCTGAACTTCATTCAAACTCTTTGCCTCTCTCTCTCTCTTCCCTACAATCAATTTGAAAGTTGAGTCGGTTAGCGATCTATGTGACACATTTTTGTTTATAATTGGCACCGCTTGGGGCTGATGGCAGCGGAGCCGGTCGGCGGCTGTGGGCTCCGTCTCTCTCCGGCGCGGCATTGTTGCAAAAATAAACAAACATTGTGGATTACGCGACACAGAAAAGACAGAGAGACAGAGAGCTCTTTTGCTTCTTCTTCTTCTTCCTTTCCTTTCCTTTCCTTCCCGTCTGTGTATGTACCCCGAACACATATTTCATCGATTTTTTCTGTATATTTCGGGAAAAAAAGCTTGTTCCCAGTTCTAGCCCGGTGATATCATCATGACATCATTTCTTCGCAACCGCCTGTACAGTTCAATTCCGAAACAAGAGAATTCGATTAAATTTGTACTTTGCCCGCTTCGCAATATATTTTTAGGCCCAGAAGTTGGCCTAAAAACAAGATCGAGACTAGTTTTATCTGCGTCTCCTCGCTCTCTCCCTCTCTTCCACAGGTATGTGGCCGAGGCGCCGCGTCACCTCACATACACATTGAACAGAGAAAAAGAGAGAGAGAGAGAGAGAGGAGAAAGACACTTTTATCCTATTTTTCTTTTCCGCTTCTTCCCTCCATTTTTACACCTATACGAATTGTGATTTCTGCTGAAAGTCGGAAGGTGTAATGTTATTTCGAACTCTTTCCTATGATCTCTTTGCTTCACGTGGGAGCAACAGTAGAGGCTTCTCGAAGCTCATTAGTTGCCAAGTCGTAAACAAAATTTGTTTTTCAAAAGCTTTATATAAACTTTTCCGTCGCCTATTCGTTTCTACTTCAAAATCAGAGCTGACTAGTGAGCGACAAAGTATCTTGACACATTTTTCTTCCAAATTTAGCAGAGAACATACTGGAAAATAGGTAAGGACTTGAACATTTGAGATCTTTTTAAAAACAGTGTAGTGTTTTCCGAGCCTTACTTTCGTTGAATAGAAAATCGAAACTAACAATGTTTCTATTGAACAGGAATTTTGGAAAATGCGTCTATTAGTTCCTAATATGGTCTTAACTTTTAAATGCTTTACGAACTTTTGTTCCGAGGCTGAGTCCTACACTTTTAACCCACTAGCAGTAAAAATCCGATCGGTCTGAAACTTGGACCGAAATTAATTCACCCCAAGTCCAAAAAGCATGCAAAGTTTGGATCCGAGCAATGGCCTTTTGCCCAGCCCTATTTGTGAAAGTTTGTCCGTCTATATATGTTCCCTATCATCCACGTAAAGCTTCTAGAAAACCAAGAAAGTGTTGCTGTTTCCGAAATTGTCTCCCTTCCGAAACTGCCCTTCTCGCGCCAATCGCGCGAAAATCCTCAAGATGAGATCAGCTTTTCGTTGGCTTGAGGCAAGGATTTCCCTCGTTTCTCTCTCTCTCTCTCTCTCTCTCGGACGGATCCTGTTAGACCCCTCTGCCCGAAAACATGCAAATTTTGTTTCGTTCGAAAAAGAGGAGGAGGAAGAAGGAAACGGAGACCTTGGCAGTGCGGAGGCCGAAAAGGACACCAATTATGGTGGTGGTGGGGGCGGAATGATTGAATGAAATTAGAAACGAAATTGGGAGCGAAATGAAATCATCGAACATGGTAATAACGTTTTTGCGCTACATATAACCTATCGCTATTAGGAAATTTTTGTGGTAAAGCTAGAAAAATAATGAATTTCTAAAGAAACATTTGCGAGAAAAGAACAATGCCGGTCCGTCAGCCCTTTTCGCTATTATGCATAATTGGTTCAGTGTCCAAAAAGGGGCGTAACCAAAACTGTCGGACGGTCTGAGTCTCTGTCCCCCTTCACTTTTCGCTCCTTTCCGTCCGTACGCGTGTTGCCGCCTGCCTCCCCGCGGTTGCTATTGGACACCTCTCAGAGAGAGAGAGAGAGAGAGAACAGCTATTACGAAAGAGCCGGCCCTCCTAATATTTGTTCGCTCAAGACACTACGAAACAGAAATGGACAAAGCGCTACATGTGGTCAGATCCATTTGGAAATGGATCAAACTGAAATTCCTAACATTCTGGTATTTTGTGACCGGAAGGAATAATCCGAACGATGATTTGTTCAATCCAGAAGGTATGGCGTACAAGTTTTAGTTCTAAAAACGAAGAGTTTAGTTGTACTATCGAGAAAATTTTCGATGGAAACTACGTTTTACACTAAAAACACCGCCTTATCAGTCGGCTCTCCGTTTTTAATGCCTGTTTGCGTTGTTTTTAGCGCACCAAATATGACAAGTCTGTTTTTGTTTCAACATTTTCTCTGAAAAGTGCGCGCCTCTCCAATTTTCAGCGGATTATGGTTGGCAACGGTGTTTGCGTACCGCACTAATTAATTCCAGAATACGATAGAGCCCGCCGCGCCAAAACCAGTTTTCCGCTTATCTTTCTCTCTCTCGAAATGTTCGCATTTTTTCAATGACTCACCCCTAATACTGATAAAAAATGTCCCTTTAAAATTTAGGCCAAAACTGGCGAGAGGTTGTTCGCAAAAAATCGAGACGAAGGCAAATTTCGCAATCGCTCTTTTTGTTGTTTTCTCGTTTTCGCCAAATGAATCATCGCTTTCCAGAGCCATATTATTTTCGCTTGATTCGATTCTTCATTTTTCTTCCATTATAGAAAAACTTTCTATGTTTTCAGCCATGGCCTCAAAAAAAGCGAGCGGGACACTGCCACCACAGCAACAAGTTGTGCACAAGGTTTGTTCCGTTTCTGTGCTGAAAACAGACTAAAAACAATTTTTTTCCAGGTAATTATGGTTGGAACAGGAGGTGTTGGAAAATCGGCGCTTACTCTGCAGTTCATGTACGATGAGGTTCGTATTCAGACAAAAATGTGTAGTATCCAGAGCCATTCAAAAGAGCTCGAAATTACTTTTTCTGTTGCAGTTCGTCGAAGAGTACGAGCCGACAAAGGCGGATTCGTACCGTAAAAAGGTGGTTTTGGACGGAGAAGAGTGCTCGATCGATATCCTCGATACGGCCGGACAAGAAGATTATTCTGCCATCCGGTAGGCTCGTTTTCTGATTTCTTGTCGAAATTTTGAGTGAAAAATGAAATTAAAACTAGAAAAAGTTGCGGAAGACACGTTTTAAATCAGTTTCCCAAATATAACCAAATTTTCAGCGACAACTACTACCGAAGTGGCGAAGGATTCATTTGTGTGTTCTCGATTCTCGACATGGAATCGTTCGAGGCCACCAACGAATTCCGGTAGGTTTTTCTGAACTTTTGAAGAAACATTTAAAACAATTCATTTTTGCAGCGAACAAATCCTTCGCGTCAAGAATTCGGACAATTCGGTGCCGATTGTGCTCGTCGGAAACAAGGGAGATATGCGCGAGCAACGAGTCGTTCCCGCCGAACTTTGCAGGCAGCGAGCCGAACAGTGGGGAGTGCATTACGTGGAGACGTCAGCCAAGAGACGCGAGAATGTCGATAAGGTTAGTGATTTTCGGTGTCCTCGACAGTTTTAACATTCTGAATTTTGCAGGTCTTCTACGATCTGATGCGCGAAATGAAGCGTCGAAAGGGCGGTGCGCAGACGCAGATCGGAATCGACGCTTCTGCGAATGCGGGACGCAAAAAACGCTCTGGAATCAAGAAACACTGCACAATTCTCTAAATTTTAATTGTTGTCCAGTTTGAGAAACTCTGTGCAATTTTGACCTTATACTATTTACTGTTTTATAAGCAACTCTTTTCAGCCTTCTAAATTTCTATCGATTGATTTCCTCGCCTTCACAATTTCCCCCCGACACTTTTCTATCTGCCATCCCGGGTACTCACTCTAACATAAAACGCCTTGTCAATTATCATTTTATGTAATTTTATTAATTTGAAAAACTTGAAATTTATGCGAAGAAGGCGGTTTTTCTCGGAAAAACAGCTTCTTTTGCCACCAGATTTTTCGGAAAACAGAAGAGACAAGAGGAAAGAATATAAATTAAGATAAAATTGTGAGGGGTAGGGAAGAAAATATCACACATTATATTGGAAGGATAATGATCGAATTTATCTACCATCCAGAATTCGCCTTCTGGCTCCACGCCGCGTAGTAATCGGTGGCCGATGCTGCTTTCGGCGGAGCAGGGGCGCCTCCCGACTGCTGACGGAACAACGCGTACAGATCCTCGTATCGGTCGTGTTCCCGCTGAAGTTCTCGTCTCAGCGAGTCGACCTCCTTCTGCAGTTCGGCATTCCGCTTCTCCAGCTCCATCATCCGATCGTCGTTTCCGTAGCGTGGGCGCTTCACGTCTTGCTCGTAATCGTCGAACGGACGACGTCTACCTCCGGGACCTCCTCCACCACCTGGTCCGAACTGTGGTGGCGGGAATCTGCCGCCTGGACCACCACCGCCGCCGCCGCCGCCGCCGCCAGATCCTCCGGCGCCCGGCGCGAATTCATTAGTCGGCGGAAGTCCACGTCCACGGCGATCTCTCTCCAGATCCACGTTTACGTGCCAATAACGGCAACGATTGACGCCGCGGGCGCAGCGCCCCGTTTGAAACTCTTTGCAAATCGGAATGCCGCCGATAGTGTCGCCGTGCCCGACAGCGGCGATGGCTCGCGCCAAGATAAGCGTCAACTCGCGCGTGTTCTTGTATCTCTCCACTTCGTCGCGTGGCGCGTGAACGAACCGGCAGTTGTCGCGCATGCAGCCTCGATTCTAAAAGTTGGGGGTTCAGACAAATTTGCAGTAAAATTTAGAGCGTCTTTAGGGGTGGGGAGCCCAAGCGCTTTTCGGTGGTGAAAAAAGCAGGGGAAACGTTCGAAATTCAACGCATTTTCACCAGCAAAAAGTAGTGAGAAAAGTGATTCCTACGCACCTGATAGTCAATGCAGAAATTGTAATCTTGCTCGCTGGCAGGCGGCGCCTCGGACGGATGGTAAAATTTACAGCGCGAACCGCGGTTGCAGATGTTTTTCAGATAATCACGGCACACGTCATCGCGCTGTTGCTGTTGCTGCTGATGCTGCTGATGCGGCGGGGGTGGCGCCAGGTTCATTTGTTGCTGTTGCGGTCCGTGTGATTGTGGAGGAATCGACAATGGTTGCGAGGATTCCGGCGTCTCTAGCGGCTTTACTTCGCCGTTTTCGTGATCGGCCATCTGAAATAATGGTCTTTGTGTCAAAGAGAACGTGGAAAACTATGAATGACAGAAAATCGAAATTCTGACAAAAACCACTCTCGCCACGGAAGGAGGAAAGATAGATAGTCATGTGATAGACAAAAAGAGAGAGAATATATGTGTTTGCGATAAGAGTGAACACTCAGAACCCCTCAAAATGCGACGTCGAAAAGGTGTCCTATGGAAAATTCGTGAATCGAAACGTAATTTTCGCATGCATATACGTAATTCCGGGCTGCAAAACGAGGGAAGCCACCGGAAACGGCTTAAAAATAGGAAATTCTTGAATTTTCTGCAGGAAATTGCCCGAATTGTTATGGCAACGTCGAGAACACAGCCACGTTTTGACACGGAGCAAGTGCATTCGAGAGCGTCGCGGTTGCGCTGCGTGCGTGGACTAGAAAACTCCACAGCCGCAGGCATCAGCGTGACCGCTTCTGCTCGTTGAATTCATAATTTGAGGAGTGAAAAGTACCCAAAACTTAAGATTTTTGTTTTCCCCGGCATCAATAAGTTAAATTAAACTGAAATCTGAAAACAGCCAGTCAAAACCGAACGATTTCGTCTTAGTTTCACGTAAATTTAGCGAAGCATTCGATAAAACGAAATATGCATCGATTTCACAATACAATCAATGTCGTTTTTGTTTTGTTATCAAATGAAAAGTTAGTTTTTTAACAGGGTATTAGTTTTAAATTATAAATTCAAAGAGTTGAACACGTTTCCACCCCAAAAAGGCAAAAAGCGATGACACATCCGGTCACGGCCTAAATTCTCACTTTTCTCGTTCTTCTCGGCCACCGCGGGAAATTCGCTCAAGTTGCTTTCGAAATTCAGACCTTTGTCAGAAAATCGAATAAGTTTTTTCTTTTGCAGGTCCTTCCCGATGCCGCCAGGCTCGGATCTCGAAAAAATCGGTAAACAATTTTAAAATGATTGCGGCAAAATTTAAATACCTGAAATTAGTTCCAGGCGCACAGAATCTGCGGAGTGTGACCAGCGAGCAAAGCAGACCTAGCGGAAGTGGAAGCAAAAAGAAAAGACGTGTGTTTTATTGAATTGAAATTTGACAAAAAAAGAAACCCATTTCTCACAGAAACATTTCAGACTCTTCGGTACGTAACAGCACTCCGCCAGAACCGTTAACTGCGAGCCAGAAACGAAAATCGGATGGTCCAAGACCGAACAATTCAAGTAATTCGCTAAGAAACTCGGTAAATGTTATGCTAATCGTTGAAAAAGCTTCAGAACGTCACACAAATGGAATCAGTCGGAACGGAATCGATCACGCAGTGAATCAGGAGCTTGCCGCTCGTATTGAACGCGTCAGAACCAATGATTCAGAGCCGTAAGTTTGAAGGAAAGCGATTTTTGTACATTACAACTAAAATTTGTTTTCAGCGGCCCTTCAACATCTGAAAAACCCAATGAAAGAAAGAGCAAGAAGGACAAAAGAGACTGGCATCCCGGTAGGTTTAAACTTGAAACTTGATTGAGAAGAATTTTCCCAGAAGATAAACAACTATTTCTGCCACATCTTCAAATAGTAGCTTCTTTTTTCAGAAGCCGAAGTGTATTCCAAGAAGCTCTACCGTCAGGTGGCTTCTGGCTTTGATTTGGACGCGGATAGTGACACGGACGTGCCTGGCACATCCCGACAGGCTATAATTTCTGACAAGTATGTTATCTTCTCATTTTTCTCTGAAAAATTATACAAATTTTCAGTTGGAAGCCCGAATACAGCGCCGGAAACCAGGAGCTCGCTCATCCGAATGCGATCCCTCGGATGGAGGTCGTTAACGACGATTTCTTGTTGGCCGAGAAGCCGAGATTCGTGATCCCCGATAAGAGAATCGTGTGCAATCCGAATGTTCCGTACTTGACCACTGGAAAACTGTTCGACCGAAATCCGCCGATCATTCAGGAGCCTGGCATTTACGAAATCACCGCCCAAGATGCGATTTTTATCAGAGAACTCAACAAGGCAAGTCGGCGTCGTTTCGGGGGTTGCGCGTAAAGTATGGTGCCTGTCTGTGCAAACTGTGAAGAGCAATTTCTTTTCCACTTGGCGGCGAATTGGACAAATTTGAAGGAAAAACGCTTGGAAGCACCGAGAAAGCGCGAAAAAGTAAAGAAAAACAGAAGGAATAATAAAAATAATTTCAGGACCGGAAACTGGCAAACGGCGAGCCATACCTCACCGATTACTTGTTCATCAAAGTCGTACAGATCATCGAAAAAGTGGTGTTCCGAGCGATTCACATCCGCCTTCTGGACTCTCTCAACGTCGTCTACATCCGCGATGACATCAACGAGGAGGCCGAGTGTGACGTGTGCAGAATAGCCGAATGCGACCCGACAGACGACATGGTCTTCTGCGACATGTGCAATACTTGTGTCCACACCGCGTGTGCTGGTATCGCAAAACTTCCGGCCTCGGAGGTTCCTTGGAAATGCCGAAAGTGCACGATCGTCCGTTCCGCCTGTCCTGCTTGCGTTCTGTGTCCGACGCTCGGAGGGTCTATGACGCATACTGTCGATAAAAAGAAGTGGACGCATCACGTGTGTGCCCTGTACATGCCAGAAATATTGTTCGGAGACGAGGATCTGCGCGTTCCGGTCACTAATTTCGAAAAAATTCCGTTGGATCGCAAAAAGGCAAAGTGCGGAGTTTGCGACACGAGAACAGGCGTCTGCGTCGTCTGCTGCCATCCGGATTGCGATGAGATGATCCACGTGGGATGTGCGAACAGAGCCGGGCTCACGGTCAAGATACAGGAGGTGGCTTGCAGGATACCTGGAAAATTTGAATAATTATGTAAGGTTCAGATCGAAGGCGATCCGGAGATGAACGTCGAGCGCATATGCTACTGTGTCGAGCACTCGAACAAGGACGAATTCAGAATCGAGCCGCAATGGCGTGATTACAAGAATCCATGGCTTGCCAAGTACCAGAGCGAGTTCCACATTTCGAGCTGTTACGAGGAGATTGCCAAAATGTAAGCGATTTTTTAGACAAATCTTAATCTCACCCGAACTCTTTCAGAACGTCAGTCGAGGAAGTGATCATATCGGACATATTCGAGTACTGGAAGCAGAAGAGAGTTGCCAACAACTGTGCGCCGCTCATTCCGCTCCTGGATCAGTGCGTCGATCTCGAGGCGAACATTTTTGCTGCGGCGAAGAAGGCGGTGGAAGCGAAAATATTGAGTTTCAAGAATGGCGAGTCCAACAAGGGCAAGAACCATTTTTTTTCGTATGGGACCCTAATGGTAACGGAAATGCGTCAGCATCACCTGAAGAGGGTCCGCTTTGCGATCGAAAAAGATCTTGAGATGCTGACAATGGTGGAGAAGCGAGAGCAGTACAAGTGGAGACAGGCGCAGACCGATTATCAGTTGGCGAGCATTGCGACGAGATACGCCAGGTACGGGAAAGTCGGAGAGCTGATACAACACATGAATGTGACGACCGAAGAGCTGGACGCACCGGAGGATCCGAATTTTGTGCGGCGAATGGACGCGGAAGTTCGGGCGGTTCGTGTCAAGAATGTAAGAAGACCTGCCGCACTTCCTAACGTGACCGTCAAGAAAATGAGTGCCTCATCGCGTCCGGAGGAGCTGAAATCGCCGTTGCGCCCCCGGAACCATCAGGGCTCGCATCCGCGCAAAATCCGTGCTCAGTCTTGCTACCCGACGACTTCACTGGCCACTCCTATTTCTTCCCATCCACTTCCATCCACCTCTTCCACGGATCTCCCCGCAAAACGACGTCAAGGGCCCGGAAGGAATCGCATTTATCCGATTGGGTAGATTTTCGTCTTCAGGCTCTTCATTTCCTGCCTTCTGCAGCCCGCTGTTTTGGCGACTCATCTAAGCCTAATGGTTTTTTCTGCTGTTCCAGCTACATCCGACCAAGTCCGTACGGCTCAAAGCGAGGACGCCCGACGAAGGAGGCAAGACGTCTTAAAGAACAAGAATTCCGACCGCCCTCATCCTCATCATCAACTTCTTTTTTTACTCCGCCCTCTTCTCCTAAAAATCCCGTTTTCACTAATAACTCAGAAATGAATCCACGACAATAAATTAAGATCTTCATGTATATAGTATTCGATGTTATTGTTGAATCCAGTCAATCGTTTTTTTGTTTCCTTTCTTATTTCTTCTTTTTCTTCCGCGTTCCCTCCCTCGTTCCATTCTACCCACCGTATTTTGGGATCTCTGTGTTACCCAACCCATTTGAATTGCCGTATAATCCGTGTGTGAACGCATGAATCTTTGCGAAAAAGTTCGTTTTATTCGAACAACCGATGACCCGTATTCTGGGTTCAAATTACGGGACGAAAATGATCACATTCAAAAGAGGATTATTCAACTCTTTCGTTTCTGAGAAATCGGGTCTAGACACATAACGAGGGGAGAGAGAGAGAGAGAGAAGGAATGATGATTTCGGCGGCGTTAGTATTCGTTGATAAGACACATCCTTTTGATGATTCGCTTGAAAGCGGCCCGGAAGTCCTGCGAGAAAACCGTGTAGATGATGGGGTTCAGCGTCGAGTTTAGGTAGCCTTAAAATGGAATAACAATTTGGGGTGGAAATCGAAAAAACAAGTACGGTACCTAGCCAAAGAGTGACTTGCTCGATGAGCGGTGAGATTGAGCATCCACAAATTGGACGGTAGATAGAGACGAGAAAGAACGGCGTCCAGCACGCCACAAATGTGCCTGAACGTGCTTTTCGATTTCAAAATGGTCATGAGAAGACTGTCGGTACCTGTGATAATGGCGAGAGTCCGCCAGGCCTTCCGCTCCCTCTTCATCTCGCTTGACTCTTTCGGACGCCGCCGTCTCTTCATTATGCCCGACGACTGTTTCGCGCCGCCGTCCTTCGCATCAATCTTCGTCTCGATCGTCGTGTCGCCGCAATTTGTCTGCGTCACCGTTCGCTCCTCTTCGGAAGCCGACGAACTTGACTCGTGATGTCGGGCGTGCGTCTGAAAATTTTATTTGTTTGCGGATTGACGTGGATTTTTCGGAACGCACCTTAATTGACGAGTTCTTTCCGTTGTTCTGAATGTCGGAGATGACGACCGCCGGCGGCAACGGAATTTTTTTGCTCTTCTTCGGCATCATCGCCTTCTTCTCGTCGATCGCGTCGGGCGGAGGACGGATCACAGTCCGCCGGTCGCGTTCTCTCTTGAATCGCTTCTTCGCAGCTCTCATAATTTTCCAATAAACGCAAATGATGGCGATTAGAGGGATGAAGAATGCGGTCGCCGTTGAGAATACCTATAATGTCCCTCATAGTCAGTAAAATGTCTGTTTGAAAATGTTTCCCCCCATTTCCTCTCTGACGTGCGTTCACAATTATTTGCACCCGGGGAATACGAAGCATTCCGAATTCCGAATGCATGTTTCTGCCCATTTTTTGATTTATGAACCATGCCCATAATCCCCGGGAATGTCTCCCAGTTGAGCCCGAAAAAGTGTTCGTTCGTCCGTTTTATGTCGGATTTTTCGCTCCGCAAAAGTTGCTCGCCGACGCTACGTAGAAGGTCTTTGCGCTCCTCATGGGGACATGAAATTCATGTCAGTATAGATGGGCGATGGCCTACGGGCAAATTTAAAAAGAGCAAGAGGTCGTGCGTCGCCGCTTCTTCTGAGTGCCAATTCTTTTTGCACACTCCGAAATAGTCACCTGACCCCCTTCTTGGAACTTTCGACGCAATGTACTTAATCTCGGAAATCCGGAATGGATAGTAGTTCCGGCCGAATTGACATTTTTTTTTCGAAATATAATAACAGATAAACATTACATACCTGATAGCTAATTTGTTGACTTATCAGGCAAACGTGCGACTTGAGGACTCTGCAAAACGAACGATATCATTCTGATCATTTCCAAATCGGACGAACGTACCGATCACTGAATCCCTCGTCTTTCCATCCGGCAAATGGCGCCAACGAGATGAGCAGAGAGACGAACCAAATGACTGCCAGCATTAGGGTGATCCGACGGGGTGTTCGGTTTTGGACGTAACAAATGTCGGTGATCGACCAGTACCTGAAATGAGTTTTCTTTGCAAAAACGGGTTAGGACCTAGAATTGCGGAAAAATGAGTTCTCAAATGACGCTCGGCCTTACCTGTCCAATGCGATGGCGACGAGGTGAAGAATGGATGCTGTGCACACGAGAACATCCACTGAAATCCAAAAGTCGCAGAGCACAACTCCGAGGTTCCACGTGCCGGTGACAGTGTTCCAAGCGCCGAGCGGTGTTACAATCAATCCGACCTGCAAAATCGTCATCAACAAACATCGGAATGATCCCCCACATCATAATTCGTCCATTCATAACTTCACCCCTCTCAACACCTATTTCTGGACATCCGGAAGGCTAATTTTATCTGTGAATGATTCGATATCCCTCCGTCCCCCGCAGAAAAATGAAATCGTCTGATTCGTTCATCATTCCACATCCCACACATCCGGGTCTAAAAACTATTTTCGCACTTCACTTGCCGTGTGTGTGTGTGTGTGAAACGTTTTGATGAGGTTCTTCAGCCCGAGGCGATTTGATTTTCTTGTGAAACTGCGGGTTTTCTCGAGAAATGGACCCCGAAACATTCCTTGAAAACAGTGGAAGCAAGCAACGATTCAAAAATCACGATCCATCCTAGGCAACTTTCCGGTTCCGTGTTGCTTCGAAAAATCCAATTAGTTCCTCATCCGCGGCTCTCATGAGAATGTAATGCACTATTTATACACGGAAGAGAAAACATGTTTGAACGCTCGACAATTTTGAAATGTTTAGTTTTTCGGCTTGTGAGATGTTTGATGTGTTCCGGATAGATGGCTAACGCACCAAACGATGCTACTTTCCAAACTTTTTCCCTTCAAAGACCCTCAGTTTGCAAAAACCGCATCTTTTTCCATTCATCACGAGACTAATGAGTCGAATGAAACAAACGGGTGGGAGGAAAGGAATAAAATTTGCATAGTGCAATTGACACAATTAAAATTGTGCTGTCTCTTACGCGCGCCTCTTCTTCTTCTCCTTGTTAATTTCCAAAAGTCCGAAAAGCAGCGGAAGGACACGTTTTGATGATGTCATCTTGTTTTGGCTTTAGGATCTCTGTCAAAACTTCCTACGCTGCATTTCCTTCAAGCCAGGTAAAAAGAGCTGAATAAAACAAGTTGAATTCGAAGCGTTCATGAAGCGTTCTCGTGGCTTAGATATCCGTTTGCATACTGCAAAACGGTGCGCACTTTTTGTTTTTTGAATGCAAAATGCAAAATTGTTATGAGATTTTAGGGGTTCTTTGCAAGCTTCGCATCAATCCAGTATCATTTCATTTTTCCCTCCCCAACTGGCAGGGTCGTTCGGCGTGAAAACGGATCGAGCGGAACGCCCCCGTCGCCTCCACGAAAATAGCGAAAAACGGAAGACGGCAAAGGAGCGGCGGCGGCACAATAAAATTGTGCGGGGTGGCTGGAAGTATGTTTACCACGAATGTGTGTCGAGTGCACATTCAATTCTGTTTTCGAAAAGCAAAGGATGGGGGGGGGGGAACTCTTGAACAGCGCCCCTAATTGGATTACGGTACTTTTCATCTCAAGAACTTTGAGCTCCTGGTGCTCACTGAGCCCATCCACCCTCTTTCTTCCTGTCTGCAACACACAAAACACACCAATGAGCGCCCTGCCCATTGGACCTTTTCCTCACACACACACACACACACAAATTTCAATCCGTCCTTCGTGCCCTCGTCCCTTCTCGGCTGGATGGGTATTAGTAGAACAGCACGGCTTTGCGGGCCCGCAGTGTTGCTCTGCTGCTCCAAAATTGAATTTGGATGACTTTTCAACACATACATACATACACACGCCGCTAGCGATCACTCGCGGCACATGAGCTCGCCGCGTGAATTCGATTTCGAGTGTGTGCACTTGTGTGGCCACGCGTTTTTTTTCGACTTTTCCAGCATTCCGACAAGGTTTTTCAGAGCGCACCAAACCTACAGTAATCCTCACGCAAAAACCAGCCAGGCCCGTCCAAATTGATGCGTGAGCTGGTTAAATCAAATTATGGTGTGAATCCGTGTAATTCGATTTTTTCCCGCTGACTTTTGACACATCCCCAATCTTTGCGCCGAAAATAGACGGATGCCAAACTTACGAGAAGATCGGCGACCGCCAACGAGAAGATCAGATAGTACTGGGGACGGCCTCGAAGATCCCGCTCCATTATGATCGCCAGAATCACGAACAGGTTGCCGATGACGCACGAGAGGATGAGTAGCAGCAGGACTGACGCCAGGATTACCGTCTGCAAATTTGATATGGTTTACTTGAAGTTACATAGTCAAGCTTGTAGAACACCCCCAACCGCACTTAAAAGTTGGAGCTTCAAAGTGTAAACTGAATCTTGTGCTCTCAGCACTACAGTATCCTTAAAGTTCGTTGAGTATGAAGACGCAGTTCTAGGTGCAAATATTTTCCCAAGAAGTCATCAAGAGCTGAAGAATGCCACTGGATACTGGACCTAGCTAAAACCTCCCCCCTAATAGTGTTTGTGTGTTAAGGGGTCCATAGGGTATGCATACAAAACATCTAGTGAACAAGGAGTTGAGCATGGACTCTGCCTCAAAGTTGATTATTATGTTGGCCGACACTGTAGGTAATAGAAATCAGTAGAATCTAGAGAAGCCCTAACTGATAAGGATGTGATCTTAGAATTAGGAACAGAGGCTAGAAGCCCGTGTGTTTCGTACATAGATCTGTCTGATCAGTGATCAGACCCTAAGCCCTAGAAGCCGCTGGCCCTAAATCTCAAACGCTTACCTGTAGCAAGGGTCGTTCCGCATCGGAGAAGATCTCGGCGGCGGCGGGGAACTCGTCGAGCAAGTGGGCGCCAGCTGCTCCAGCCAGAAACGTGGACACGTTCACCGTTTCCTCGTCTAGCATCTCGACCGTCGCATTGCCTGTAATCCAAGAATTTCGGGACGTCCAGAAACAGAAGACGTCCTTCGAATAAAGGGTGTGTCAAATGTAAATAAACGAAGAGAAGAAGAAGAAGAAGGAGGAGGAGAAGGAGTAGGCGACGTAGAAGGAAAAGGAGCAAACGGGGACGAGAACGAGGACGATGTGTGTGTGTCTATGAGTGTTGTTTTACACTAGTGGATAAGAAGGGCGCCTGAGGAAGAAGGAGGAGGAGGAGGAGCAAGAGCAGGAAGGGGAGGAGCAGCGGAAGCTGTAGAAATGAAAGTGGTCTAGGTTCGAATGCGAGGAAATGGGCTTAAAGGACGGGCACCAAGAATGGTCTGATTTTGGATGTCACTGACAGAATGTGAGGAACGTGAGGAACGTCAGGGCGGATTAATGACGAGGATCATCTGGATTACAGTACGGGAGGTCTGGGTGAGCAAGAAAAATATAATGTTTTTCTAGAACGATTATACGTATCAAGTGGTCTGGATTCATGGATTAACCTGTCTAGTCTGTCATGAATCAAACTGTGACTGACCTTTGTAAAGTTTGAAAAGCCTAGTTTTTTGGTGAGCTGTTGGAACCCTTCTAAAAGTAGTGAGACAGTAAAATTGTCACCTAGAAAATTGAAGCACTGAAGATTGAAGTATGAGGATCCGATCCGAAACTGTACCGTAACCTTCTTCGATCTCTGGGCCCAACTTCTCGATTTCTTCGTTCCCAATGAACCATGGACATCTGCGAGTCTCCTCAAAATTCATTCCCAAACGTTTCTTCTTCTTCTTCTTTTCCGTCGAAACTTTTCGTTTTTCGCCCGCGGGCACCCACTGCGGGCACCTCGTGAGAGACTAAACAAACTTGAACTCTTGGATTAATGTGTGAAGTCTTGCTTCTGCTCCAGAAGACGTTGTTGGAAAGGGCTTTTACATGTTGGACCGGAAGACATCATATTTCCTCTTCCGATGACTCTTACATTAACTGATATCAGCAGTTTCCGTGTTGTAGCAAGAGGATGTAAAGAAATTGAGAGTTTAGAATTTAAGATCAAAGTCCTGAAAAGTCTGTCCTCCGCTCTGAATTACCGCAAAAGAAGAAGACGGAAAACATTCGTGTAAAATCGTGATTATACAATAATAACAAGACACAGTTTGGACCCCTCCGACTACAGTGACATCGAAAACAATAACAAGTGACCCGCTCTCCCCCAAAAAGAGAGGAGCAAAAACGATGATCGTCAACTCGTCGACACTCTTCGAGAATACGTCAAAACGGGCGGCGTCATACCAGAAAAGCGAGAGAGCGGACCCTTAACTAATTCATGGCGATGGGCAGGAGATAAATGGGTACTTGCTCCCTACTTTTTTTTTTTGCAAAAAGCACTTTAAACATAGTGGTCACACAAAAAAGAGTACGGTGGTGGCGGTGAGGGACCACCGGTGGAACATCAAGAATGGGGGGGGGGGGAGTCGGTGAGCGCAAGTGTACACGTTTCCGGTGTTGGTGTCGCGCGGCGAGAATGAAAGTTCTAGAAATCTTTGATTTCCAAAAGATGACGTGGAATTGAATCGGAAAGTGAGTGTTTAGCGACAAAAAACGTGCCGGGCCGGATGAAAGATGGATTAGGCAGATTAGGAGGAGCACAAGGATCAGCAGTCGGTGTTTAGTTTAGCAGCTCTGAAATGAAAGAAAAGTCAAAAAGTGAGAATTTAGGGGTCAAACTGTCAATTTTCAAAGTTATAGAACGGAAAATTTGCGACAACTTTTCAGTTGACCACAGGTCTCTAAATATGAGGGCTAGAGCGCTGAACAAGTTGCACTGATGGCGAACTTTTGCGCGGCCAGACACACACACCCACAAAACTTGTCTCGAAACGAAAGAGAGAAGAGCCTTCATCATCAAGCTGAGCCCCCAAACTTCCTGCTCTTTTCAGAACCCCTCTCCGTTTTTTCGGCGGGCGCTCTCAAACGTTTTGACCTACTCTCTCTCTCTCTCTCTCACTGTTGACCGGATTTCCACAAAAAGTGTAGAAGCTGTGCGAGGGGCACAGGAAGTCGTTAGTGGCTATTACTCCCCCCCCCCTTTTTCATGTGCACTGGGTGCCTTCTGACTCTTTTCTCGCCTTTTTTGTAAGGATTCCCAGGATTGTGCTGAAATCGTGGAATCAATGCACAGAAATGTGCCTTTTCCGGTACGAACGCGCCGTTTTCCAAATTTTTCCACTAGGATTCTGCACGTTTCGACTGACTGCAAATTGACTATTAGGGGGAAATTCTCAACAACCTATTGCTCAACTTCTAGTCTACAATCAACAAAACATTGAGCAAAATTTTGGCAAAGTAGGGAAAACTTGGCTGTGAAGCCTGCCGCATCCTCATCCTCTTCTAAGGCGTCGAGTCAGAAGCGCAAAAAAAGTGGGCGGAGCTTAAAGTTCTTGAAGTTCGACTAGGTTCAAAAGACGAACGAAGGCACCAAGTATCAAGATGTTCTCATGACCAACTTCTCAACAAGTTTTGTGCAAAAGTGCGTTTTGTAACTAACTAAGGATAATCAGATTGGGACCAGCACTTGTACTTTGAGACTTTTCTGCATCATTTGTGAATTTCTAACTGGCATTTTGAGGTGCGGGTTGGATCTGATCTGGAGATGGAAAACAAAACTTTTGAAAAACCCGAGCCTAATAAGCGCTTTGAAGTTTATGGAAATTCCCGCCAAGACCAAATACCAATCTAGGGTTTGTTTTTCTGACAAAATTGGTACTTGTAGCCGATGAATACGAAAATTTGAAATTTGACGTTATCTGCCGGCCACAAAACCCACACGCCGGTTTGTGGCAAAACTTTTAAACCAGAAACGTTGGGAAACAAGTTTTTGGACCCTGAATGGTTTATTCATCGGCGGGAAAAAGACGAAACCACTCACACACACACACACACGTTTTTCACTTTTCCAATTTCGGACACGGCCTGATATAGTCCCAGCACAGCGTTTCATTGAAAAGGAAGAGCGAGAGAGTGTGAGAATTGAATCTCACTCTGTCTCTCTGCTGAATAATACATTGTATTCATGATCGAGCCGAGAAAACTGATACTTTTTTGGGGTGAATTGAGAGATTGAGACTATGGGGCGAGCCAAAGGTGAAATGTGTTGGCTGGAGCAATGTTTGCGGTCTAGATGATCCAAAATCTGTGGGTAACGTGATTAGGAATCGGCTCTTAGTTTTTCTTGGGCCGATACAGTAAGGTACTACTGTACTAGACAAGGTCCGGTCTTATGTTTTTTTTTTCGGCCCAGGCTTTTTGAATTCCTATCGAGGCCTGGAATTTTAACTTACTTGCAATACTTGAAACATTGGCCCAAGCCTGCAATTGGGTCAAAAGTCCAGGCCTCGGCAGGCCTGGTGAAGTTTGAATCTGTTCGTGGAAAGAATGCGGGTAACTTAAACAGAAGTCCAGACATGTTGGTCTCTAGGTTGAGGAAAAAACAGAGCAGAAAATGAATCACAAGAAATGGAGGAACTAGGTACGAAAACTTCCGATTCTCGCGTCATAAACTTTAAACAGATCTGTGGGCGCTCACAAACAAACGAACACCTTGTCGCCGGGATTCAATTTTTCGACGTGTAAGATTCTGGCTCGCAGTCTGAATTACATTACCGCCAGAAATGAATGACACACAGCCGCCCCACAAAAGTGACGAAAAACAAAGCAATTTCTTGTCGAGAGACCAGCCTCTCTCTCTCTCGGAAAAAAAAGTTTTGATGGAAAAAAAGCGAGCGAGAAATGAATTCCTCCCTCGTTTTCCTCTTCTTCCGCGCCGCCCGTCGGACGTCTCCTGGCTGGATGTCGTTTTGATGAATAACATTTGGAAGGAACGAGGGAGAGGGAGAGAACAAAACACAACGTGTTTCGTATCGTACATCCATAATGTATTTGTGGTCTAACCTTTGGGGGATTGTCAGGATTCCCCTCAACATCAAGATTCCCGGAACACCTAGACTACTCGGAATACTATTATTATTATGATGTGTCTCGTTTTTCCGGAGATCAGATTTATAAAAACAAACGGACAGGGGGGACATCGTGCCTACAGTAATCCTCATAATCGAATCAGAAATGGTTTTCCTTTGAAAGACCAGTAAGAAAAGGGTTCAAAATTTGAGTTCAGGATAGTTGGAATCAGAAAAATGAATTTCATTTCAGTCTGGCCCCGGCCCGTTGCAAGAATCCAATTACAGGCTCTGGTACCGACAGCTCTCGGAATTCCAATAGTTTTCAGAGAAATTAGAGCTTTCTGAAACTGTACGCATGCAAAAAGTCATTTTCAACACGAATTTGCGAAATTAGAACATTTTCAGTGAGCTTCACAAAAAGCCACATGCAAAAAGTAGACAACGGTGGAGGATCAAATAAAAAAGAGAAATGCGTATGTAATAAACGAGAACTATCGGATTTCTCATTATTTTTGGCTTCTAACCAGGTTTCTCGTGTGCCGGACTCTTCGGAGCAGAGCACAAAAGGAAGTGAACGTTCTTTAATCAACTGTTCGGAAACTCTTCATTACAACTTGCAACAACTAGTTCCGAGACGAAGAAAGGAACAAATGAGCGCGCGAACGAGGAGGAAAAGAGGAAAGATGATGTGGTAAAGTGATGAATTCTGGATTCGGGACTTCCTTCTTCTCCCTCTCTTTTTCTCCGCGCTTCGCCCATCCTGACACTCTTTTGGCGCCGTGTGCATAGGTAATTAGAAGAGGAGGAGGAGGAAAAGAAGAGCAAAATGTTGCGAGAAGCGGAGACGGACGGCCGCTCAATTAGGAAGTACTAGGAGCAGGAGAAGGAGCACGAGGAGAGGGTATTTTTGGAAATGTTTGTGTGGGTCCTTAGGAGGATCACCACTACTTATAGTTAGGCTCGTTAGAGAGAAAGAAAGAGAGGAAGAGATGAAGTCATTCGTTTGAAATTAATGCTGCCAATCAGAAT